GCCTTGCGTACCAGAAAGCTCAGCGACTCGGCTGCAAAGCGAGAGACGAAGGCTTTTTGGCGCTCTTTGCCCAGCAAAGGTGACATGAGATCGAAGACGGGGCGCAGGTTCGGTACCAATAGCCTTGAGAGGTACTTGAACAGCCATGCCAGACAGCCAAATGCCCATTCTATAACTTCTACGTCGGCATGCGTGGCTGCCAGATGCGACACAGTTTTCACTGCCCTCTCAAAATATTTCTCAAAGCGCTCGCCGAGATCGTGTGCAAGATGGGCCATGAGGCTGAGCAGCGGCTCCTGGCTAAATTTCTCGCCCTTTTCAATATGTTCGATAAGGAGTTCGAATATGCGATCGCTGTGGTGGAGGACTTGGGGGAGGCTGTCGCAGAGTGGCGCAACTTTGCGGGCAAAGGCTGTGAAGGGCTCCGACATGTTGAGTTCCCTCCATTCGAGGAACGAGTCGCGGAAGTAGGAAAAGGTCGATTCGAGCTCGGCATCGTCGAGAATGGTGCTGCGACCGCGGCGAACAGGCTCAATTCTGAGTTGTGCAATGCGCTGCGAGAAGCCTTTGAAGACATGATTGCGCGTGGATTCGGTCCCGCCCTTGACCCGTTTCTGTGGGCGCGCAGACTTTGATATTTTGGAGGATGGCTTGGTAGCCGGGCGTGTAGCAAGTCCCTGCGACATGGCAGCCATGGTGTGTAGTGTATTTGGGTGTGGTGGAGAGGGTTGTGTCGAAGGCTGCATCTTCACTCGATGCTCCACTAGAATTTCCATACGCTAACAAAAAAGCTGGACCCTGGCACTGGCACCACCGACGCCGCCGACGCGCCAATCACCCATGCTCACTCAACACCAACGCGTCGGCAGCTCGTCATAGCCAACATCACCATCCATAATGGCTTCAAAAATGTAACTCTGCCCTGCTGTTTCTCTCTTACAACTCACTAACACGTGCAGCGTCGTCGTCGGTGACGTCAACGGGCAATTCAAGACGGTCTTCCAGAAGCTGAGCGCACTGCACGCAAAGAACAACTTTGCTTTCGCCCTCATCGTAGGCAACTTATTTGCAGCCTCACCTGATGATGAAGATGCAGCTTCAGGTGACGTGCAGTCACTTGTCAATGGTCAAATCGACGTGCCGTTGCCGACCTACTTTGCTCTTGGCAGCAGTCCACTGCCACCAGCAGTCATCCAAAAGTTGGAATCTTCCAGTGATGAACTATGCCATAATCTCTTCTTCCTTGGCAAGCGGACTACTATGAAGACGTCTGAGGGTATCCGCATTGTCGCGCTAGGTGGCCGACTGGATGCGAACATCATTGCTGGCCAGTCCAAGGACAAGTACCCGCCTTTTTACAGCGAGACGGATGCCAAGATTTTGCGAGGAGCAACAACAGCTGATATCCTCATCACCAACGAGTGGCCAGAGGACATTCAGAAGCGTTCCAAAGTCGAATTCAACGCTGATGTCCAGCCAACCAGCCAGCAATGTATCGCCGATTTGGATGTGATATTGAAGCCCAAGTACCACTTCTCAACATCTGGCGGCACCTTTTACGAGCGAGAGCCATTCTTTCATCCACCCAGTGCTGAAACCGATAATCTCTATCCTGTAACGCGATTCATCAGTCTGGCTTCCTTTGGCAATCCCAATAAACAAAAGTGGATTTATGCCTTTTCTCTAGAGCCTTCTGCAAGCCATCCCGTCGCACCCCCGCCTGGCTCAACCGCTTGTCCTGTCGTCCTTTCGGAAAAGAAGCGAGTTGCACCCGAGTATCAAGAACAGCACCTAGTCTATGACGATGGAAACCGAGGCCGGAGGGGCAACAAGAGACGAAAGGGCGAGCCTCGAGGGCCCATTACCGCATCAGAATGCTTCTTTTGTTTGGCCAATGAAAACATTGCGACGCACTTGATAGCCTCGATTGGCGAGAACTCGTATTTGACTACTGCAAAAGGCCCTCTGCCAACTCCACAAACTTTTTCGAAACTCGGCTTTCCTTGCCACATGCTCATCATTCCATTTACACATCAGCCGACGCTGGGATCAATGGCAGAGGAGGAACGTCACGCGACATACGCAGAGATGCAACGATATCGGTGCGCAATGAACAGCATGCTCAAGTCTGTAGCAGATACCGACTATGGTTCAGTCACGTGGGAGGTCAGTAAATCTAGCTTGCCTCATACACACTGGCAATACCTCCCCGTAAGCGCCGATCTCATCAGCAAAGGACTTGTCGAGGCTGCATTCAAGGCATTGGCCGAGAACCTGCATTGGCCAAAATTTCAAAAAGAGGATGTAGGTGATGGAGTTGAAGAGACGAGCGACTTCTTCCGGGTCTTGGTGTGGGATCCAAAAGACGATCCGGAAAAGCAGACGAGCTACGTTATGCGCTTCGACGAAAAGATACGTTTCCACAACCAGTTTGGCCGAGAGGTGTTGGCCAAGTTATTGCGACTCGACCAGCGTGTCGACTGGAAGAATTGCGGACAGACGCAGCCTCAAGAAGAGCAGGATGTTGAAAGGTTCAAGGAGGCGTTTAAAGAGTTTGACTTTGCCGCATGATACCTATACTCAGGAAGTAACGTTGACGATGGAATCTCTCTCTCTCTCCGTCGACTCAACAAGGCCGTACTAAGGCGCGACGACCCGGCAGTCGGAGATTATCACTACATAATGTATACGCCCCGGAGTACGTCCGACCAAGCTTCAACAAGAGATTGGTTCGTAATGTATATATGTCACGCTACTAATGAAACATTGTCACGACGAAACGCAAGCCTAGCCAAGTCCCAAGACCCCGACGTCGCTGCGAATATACTCGAAACGGCAGTTCTGGCATCAAACTGTCCAATGCAGCACTAAAGGGTTGGCATACCAAGCTCCGGTGTCGCCATGGGTAATCAAGGCCTTATTTCCGGTTGCCCGAACAGCTCTCGTACGCTGGCCAGCAAATCCATTGCAGTATTCACCTCCGTACCAGCGTCTCAATTTAAACAAAACTTGAAGATTAGATGCAGGACAAACAACAATTATCTAAACATGGCTTCGATGCGCCAGACGCGCACCATTTCAGCATACGCAGCTTGGCATCTTCCTCTTGAGGCTAACATCCTTCTTCTTCCAGCCAAGGCCATCGCTTGGCTTTCACGTGTTTTGTAGAGCGCGGGACAGCAGCCAATGAGCAACATGACCCCCCACTCGACCACATCTGCAGTCATGCCCATGTTTCCTCCTTCAAGCCCCCTCATCTTTCACGTTGGCCATGTCTTATCATCCATTCGCTCCTTTTGCAGAACATCATGGGATCGTCCATGTTTCCGACCCGCACACGCCGGCGCCTTCCACACGGACACATTATCCTCATCTAGCAAGCACCCAATGACAAGGCGATACTGTTAGCGTACGCCCCCGGCCACGACCCTATCACACGTTGCGATAAGCCCACCTGCGCTCCCCATGCCCGCGTTTTCCGTAAACCCTTCCAGCACCTTATCCCTCTTGCACGCCTACACCAGTCATTGGCATTATCCTCCGTCTTACCATGCAGCCCCCAATACCGCACTACTCGTCTTTTGTCCCCTGAACAGGAAGGCAGCTCCATGACTTGGGGCCGCCAGAAGCAAGTTGCACTGCCGATCAGGTACGCTTTGCTCTAGTCGTCCGATGTCTCTAGATGAAGGACTATGCTTCAGCCGCTTACGACCCTTGCCGACCTGCCTTATTGGGTTTCGGTCAACGATCTTTGTGGGCGCGTGTTTGTTGTAGGTTTCGCTGATGGGGTTGTTCCGCGGTTACACCACTTTTTTTAGCTGGGCAAGTAAGAGTAGGTAGAGCGGGGGTGGGTAGGCGTGCGGTGCTTCATTGGTATTGGACCATGTTTTGTTTCGTTCTCTGGGACGGGAAGGGGAAGCGGAGAGGGCCGGGGCTAAAAGATGATGGTAGATAGGTTAGGATGGTAAGAAAAGAAAGGACTGGGTGGGGAACTTGTATATAAGATGGGTGGTGTTGTACGTACTGTTGTACCCATTGTGAATGACATCGGCTTCACTGTCGAGTGTCTCATACATCTGATTGCGGGGTTCATATCTCAATTGACATATCACTCTTTCTCTTCTCCCTATCCCCCTCAATCTAGACAAAGATGAAGACCTCCCTCCTCATCGTCGCAGTCTCCGCTGCCATCGCCTCCGCCGCCCCCGCCCCATCTAACCTCTCCGCCCGCGCTCCCCCCAACGTGCCCTCCAAGGCCGAAGCAACAACCCAACTCGCCGGCCTCACCGTCGCAGCCCAAGGCCCACAAACGGGATACTCTCGCGACCTGTTCCCCCACTGGATCACCCAATCCGGCACCTGCAACACGCGCGAGACGGTGCTCAAGCGCGATGGCACAAACGTCGTAACCAACGATGCGTGCTCCTCTGTCTCGGGCTCATGGTTTAGCCCGTACGACGGCGCGACATGGACGGCGGCGAGTGATGTCGATATCGACCATATGGTTCCATTGAGTAACGCTTGGAAGGTTAGTTTCTCCCCTCCCCCCCACCCCCAAATTCCACCGCCTCCCTCAAGAAACCCAAGAAGAAGGACGCAAGCTAACAAGGAAAAAAAATATTAGTCCGGCGCAGCATCCTGGACCACGGCCCGCCGCCAGGCTTTCGCCAACGACCTTACCAATCCCCAATTGCTTGCTGTCACCGACAATGTCAACCAAGCTAAGGGGGATAAGGGGCCAGAGGACTGGAAGCCCCCGCTAACGAGCTACTACTGCACGTACAGTAAGATGTGGATTAAGGTGAAGAGTGTGTATGGGTTGACGATTACGAGTGCGGAGAAGAGTGCGTTGACTAGTATGCTTGCGACGTGCTAGATGAGATGGTTATGAGGAAATGAATGAATTTTCTTTTTCATATATGAGAGAGAGTGAGAGAGAGAGTATGGATGGATCGATTGAGTTCTTGATTGTATATATGTGGGTTGGGGGAGGGGGGGTTTCACAGTGTATATATGAATTCCGGGTTTTCTCTATCGGTGAGATCGAGCCATCTGGGACGTAGTCAGAAATCGAGCTTTATTTTTATTTTTATTTTTGCAATACTTTTTTCCTTCTCGGTGGAGAGAGATTTCTGCTGTGGAAGGGGAGAGGATAACATTGGAAAGGGGGGAGGAGGAGAAGAAGAAGAAGGAAGAAAACTTACTCCTGATTCTCCAACTTGACATAATCGGGCGCCGCTCGAATCAGCGCCTTCTTCTTGTTCTGACGCACGCAGTAGAAATGGATGAAGGCGAGGATGCCGAGACATACGCCCCAGCAGACGATGATTGTGACTTCAGCGGGGACATAGCGGGGAGCGTCTGATGGGCGGAATGTTTGAGGGCCTAGAGAAAGTTTGAAAAAAATCGATGTTAGTTTTCATGTACGTATGTCGTTGGATACGTAATCGCTCCCTTTGATGCCAAAGGGGAAATCCTACTACATAAAAGGAGGGGGGGGAAACATACCTATGATATTCCCAACACAATACCCAATCAAAAACATAGCTGCTACACTCGTCTTCTTCGTATACCCCGCCACGTTACTCGCTATCAAGCTCAAGAGCGCCACAAACGGTGTGGGACTCGCCTGCGTGAGATAGTATCCTGCGAGGCGCCCCGAGTTGCTAGTCAGCGGTAAGGCGACAATGAGTAGCATGCCGAGGATAGCAGTAAGCAGGCCAATCATAGAGATGAGAATGCGGTTCCCGTATTTATCGCCGGCCCAGCCACAGGCAATCAGGAAGACGATTTCGACGGCGCCGCCCGGGGTACCGTATAAGAGGGATTGCTCGGGTGTGTAACCGAAGCCGACGATGAGTTGGGAGAAGAAGTTTGAGATGCCGCCTTTTTGTCTTTCCGTCAGCAAACAAACCACCACGAGTACGTAGTTACGAACGAGAGAGAGAGAGAAAAGATAGGCTTACCATTCGGAATATCAGCAATCAACGCATAAAAGAAAAACGCCCAACTCAACGGATCCATCAACGCCTCCTTCAACTGATACCACTTAAAATGCCGATTCCCCACCCCTTGCTTATTCACTCGTATCCGCTCAACCGCCAACACGCGATCCTCCTCGCTCAACCACCGACAATTGAGCTGGTTATCAGGTACTATCCACAGAAAAGCCACGCCGCAGCACGTCGTCAGCAGGCCGGTGGTTAAGAAGACAATCTTCCAGGGTTCAATCGAGGTACCGAGTTTGCGGCACCCGACAGCGATGCCGTAGGCGAGGCACCCACCGAAGATTTGCGCGAACCCGTTGAAGCTGAACCAGATGGCGGTTCGGGAGCCTTGCTCGGCAGTTGTGTACCATTGGGATGTGAAGAGAGCGAAGCCAGGAGTTACCTTTTTTTTTAAAAAAAAAAAAAGTAGTCAGTACTTAGTTAGGACAGCTTTTTGAAAAAAAAAAAGAGTTAAAACTTGGGGGGGAGGGAGGGGGGGATTGTTTTTTTTCTCTTTGGAGAAAGGGGGGAAAGAAAAAAATAACAACTTACAGCAGCTTCAAAGACACCCAGGAAAAACCGAATAGCCACCGCTCCCGAAAAATTCGACACAGCCGCGAAGCAGGAGAGAATGATGCCCCAGATTATAATATTAAAGGCGGCTGGAAGAAGAAGAAAAAAAAATGCAATTTAGCAATCATCGTTAAAACTCTGGATATATATCTCCATTTTTTTTTTGATTTCAGATTTCAAGAGTGAAAGAGAAAGAAAGAGAGAGATGTACGGAAGGAAAATAAGTTAAAAAAAAAAACTTAAAAAACTTACAATACTTGCCCAAGGGCAACACCTGCAACAACCTCGACGTCGGATACTCCCACGCTATGTAGCCAAAGTAAAACATGCTTCCGAGCCAGGAATACTGGTCGCCTGTGAGATTGATACCGGATTTCAGGGGGTTGTCTGAAGGAGGGAGTTTGAGGCCCATGATGCTGGCGTAGGAGAGAGTTGTTTTGTCCAGGTAGTTGAGGCCGTAGACGAGGCACATGATCTGTACTCGTTATATTAATAAGAGGTGTAAGGGGGGGGGGTGGATGAGAAGAGGCGTACAGGCATCAAATGCCAATCAATTTTCCTTAACAAAGCTTTTTTCTTCTCCTCGGTGAGTTCGATGACTTGGCCTTGCATGCCTTCAAAGGCTTTCATGGCTGTGTCGGCATCGTGAGAGTGCTTGAGGAGTTTCTCTGCTACTTTGCCCTTTGGTACAGGGAGATCTTGTACCACTGCATCTTTCTCTATATCCGCGGTTGGAGGCAGCGGGGCTGCGGCTGCGGATGCCATGGCGGCTGGAATGTTATGTATCGTTGCCCGCTTCTTACTCTCTTTTTATTTGCCCCAAACTATATACTCCTGAGGGACAGAGACAAGCAAGGAGAAATGGATGAGATGGCGTGCGGAGACACAAGGGACAAATCGACGTCAATTAAAAAAGAAAAAGAAGAGAAACGACTACATCGCACTTATGTAAACCCAACCAAAGCGAGTGCCCGCAGATCCAACCGTCTCTTCCTCTCTCTCTCTCTCTCTCCCGCGCCTCCAACTTTCCTTTTCGGGGAGTGTGGCTATTGGAGTCCCCCCCCGTTGGAGCACCGCCCGTTGCTCTTTTTACCCGTCTATCAAGCCCACAGCCCACTTTTGTTGCTTGTCCATGATAAGATAAAAGCTTGTGGCCCGCCACTCCCTTCTCATGCTACCGCGGCAGCGGGATAAGAGCGGGCTTCCTTCTTTTTTTTTGCCAGTCATCTAATCGCCTTAAATCGTGTAATCATCCGATTGTAACGTTCCCTCGGCGAAGGCGCAAGGGAAAAAAAAAGCCGACGTTATCGTAATCGTGGCATTGCGGGGTAGAAAAGCGTACGTGCGTGCGTGTGTGTCGCTGATCGCCCGCCCGCGGAAAAATCCGGGTCGAAGAGCGATTGAATAAGTTGATACAACTGTAGATACATGGTTACATGATAGCCCACTAGACGGGCGCCTTTACTATATGAGGAAGCTGGCGTTTCGGGAATTCCAGATTGGGGAGGCACGACATGCTTCAGTGGTGGAGAATGTGGGTTATTGGGGGGGAAAGGGAAGGAGGAAGCATGGAAGTCAAGGTGATTGATTGGATTCGGGAGCTGTTACGAAAGCGGGGAAAAGGCATGATTGATAGTGGGTAGAGGATGGGGCGAATGCAATGCGTGTCATGTCAGTGCAAGTAGCGCCGTAGCAAAAGAGAGAGAGAGAGAGAGCTTATCATGAGCGGCGCCCATCTCCGCGCGACAAAAACTAAGCATGAAAACAAGTTTAAAACTCTAAAATAAGCGCGGGCGCACGCACGCACACACGCACACACGCAAGCACACGACACAACTTCAAGACACTAGGATAGGGAGGCCACTCTTGGCATGAACCATTGCATTGCAACTAGGAAACTCTCTTCTTTTTTTCTCCAAAAAAAGCAACACTCGCTGTGCGAAACCCCATAGTAATAACCATGCTTTGCTTGCGAACAAGACTCGTTGGAAGAAAAACGCCAGGCTGGTAACACAAGCCAATGCTCTAAATCCACACTTTGTCCCTGCCCATCTAGGCCCCCATCCTAAACTTTGGATGGTAGCCGTACACAACCTTGCAAACGCCGCCCTGATGCAGTTTCGTAAAATGCTTTGAAACGACAGTTTCCCTTTGATTCGGGAACAAAGAAAAAGAAGCGAATAAATGAATAAGAAAAAAAAGCCGCGAGTAAATCGTCACGCGTGATAAATAGATAAGCAGAGAAGCGAAGACACAGTCTGTGATCCGAGAGAGCAAAAGACGCTACTACGATCGGACAAAGACGCTATTGAGCTTGTTCAGTGCGCTGCTATCGGCAGCTGTGCTGTTCTTGGCAAGTCGTTCTGGGGCCAGATCGCGGGGAAATCTCGATGCAGTGTTTGGGCTACGGCTGCCAGAGCGGCTGGTGCTTTGATTGTCCTTGGTCTGGATGTCGCCATTGAGCAGCGAGTCGAGTGTTGGCAGCGGTCTCGATGGTGGCGGTGCTGATGTGGTAGTAGGGGCGCCGCTAGGCTCTGATGGGCGAGGATCCAACTTGTCAGAAGTCTCTGGGGTTGGTGGCCTATTGGCACCGGCCGAGGCGGCGGCGGCGGCACCATTGATGGCTGGCAGCTGTGGGCCCTGCTCGGGAATGGATTGTGCAGGTGCTGGTGGAGGAGCAGGCGCGCCGACTCGCTGCAGATGTTGCTGACGTTGAGCGTGGTCGGCGGCTGACGGAGTGCGCAATGGAGGTGTCGTCATGTACTGCTGAGCAGCGTGAGCAGCGTGCGCTGCATAGGCGGGGTGCTGCATCAGCATGGGATGGTGACCTTGGGGAGCGTGAGGATGTGCGATTGGCGGCGGCGCGCGGTCAAAGACATGGGCCTGGGGGTGATATTGGGGCTGTGCATAGACTACGCCGGGATAGAAGTAAGGGTGCTGTGGGTAGTACGCGTGTAATGGAGAAGAGCCATTCGGAGGCGTAGGAGGATAGATGGGAACCGCATACATGGGCGCGACAGGGCCGCCGCGTGTGTAGGGCGAAGAGGGGGCCATGCTGTGGCCTGGAGCATTGTATGGGGAACCTGGCATGGGACCGCGAGTGACGGCAGGCACGGATTGGGTCTCGTTTACTGCAGACTCGGGGTACATGTTCTTGGGGGGTCGGATGTGTCGCAGCTGGGCGTCGTTTGTGGGCTGGGGGAGGTTGTTGGAGTTTGATCGCGAGTAGTAGCTGATGAGGTGGAGATGCTGTCCGCTCTGTGTAGTGATGCTGAAAGACTGCTTCATCAGACCGTCGGGCTTGTATCGGTAACCGTCTGGACCCTCGCCCTCGGAGTCTCCGTTTGCTGAGCCGTCTGGCGACTTTCCGCTCGCGCGCTTTGCTACGGGCGGAGTGGGCACAGCGCTGCCTCCTCGCTTGCCCTCCATTTCTCGGTATGTGAGGAAGCTGCCAGAGACGCGGCTGGCGCTCCATGATTTTCCGTCTGTCCATCGTCTCATTCCGGCCTCACGCTCGTCCCACACGAATACCGAGCCGGACTTGATCTGCTGGCGCTCCTTTTCGGACAAGCGACGTTGGACGCGCGGTAATATGCCAATGCGGCAGGCCTCGAACAGAATGATGGCATCGTTGGGGGTGCGGACATGGCCGTGGTAGGTCTCCATGGCAGTGGTGGTGGCCGTAGTAACAGGGATAGTGATGGTGTGTATGTGTCTGTGTCTGTGTCTGTGTGGGTTGTGGCGTGTGGTAGCAAGAGGGTACCGTAGTAAAGCGAGGTCAGTGCCTCATGGGTGTCTTTGGGGTCAATGTCAGTTTGTGGGTGGTGGCAGGTAGGGATTAAGTACAAGTTGCAGTGGAGAGAGTAGGTGCAGGGTACCCGGCAACGTCGGGACAAGGTGAGAGTAGGCATAAAAGCTAGTACAATGCCTGACCCCGGAGTGGAGGTAGCGTACAAGTGGGCGAGGCTAGCTAGTAGGCGAGACGAAACAAGAGACAGAGACTTACGGGAGGACGTGCGACTGCAACAGTGACTGTGACAAGGCGTGTGTGTGTGTGTGTGTGTGCGAGGAGGAGGGTATGCAAGTGTGTGTGGGTGTGGGTGTGGCTGTGCGGTCAGATCAAGGCTGGCCGGGTGTTGGATGGAAGGCTAGCGAGGTGAAACGAAGCCGGGGAGGCAGAGTCAGGATGAGTGGGCGTGGGTGGGTAATGGGGAGTGGATGGACAGCAGGTCGAGGAGATGAGGAGAACAGGAAAAAAAGGCGAAACTTTTGCAAAAGCCATGAGCAGTCATCTGGGCTCATGTACTTGCTCACGGGCAGGGCAGGACAGGGCAGGACAGGGCAGCGCAGGCTTGGGCCCCAGAAATGACTTTTGGCCCTTTCTCGGCGTTGGGATGGCGTCTCTGGATCGCCCGCCGCGCGTGGAGTGGCGGCTGATAGCGAAATAAGGCCCACAAGCAGCCGAGACAAGCTTTGCTCGGAGGCCGCTGACTGTGCTGACTGGGTGCGAGGGGGGATGCGTGTGCTGGGGGGGTATATAGGTATGTGTGTACACAGTAAGTAAGTGGTGTGTACTAAGTAGATGGGGTATGTAGTCGTGTGCGTGGGGATGCTCTGTTCATGGATGGCCCTAGAAAAGAGTAGCAGCGCGAATGCTCACAAACACACTCGAGGAAATGACGCGCCCAGCCTGCCACGGCTGCCACGGCTCTGGTGGTCAGCGCCACGGGCATCGGCCGGCCAAGCTTTAACTCTAAACGAATCTTTATTTTCGACAAGCCTTCAGCCGCTTGGCAGGCCCAGTCGTGACAGTCCGGCAATCCGTCTTGTCGTGCTTGGCTGGTCGAAGCGGACGCTGCCCCAATCTACCAAGCACAGCCAAGGCGTTCCAACCGCCTGTGTCTGGCCATTCCACGCCCGAGTCGTCCATGGCGTCCTTGGCCCTCTGCCCACAAGACGCCCCAAAACCCGCCCGCTCTGCTCGGCGCCCTTGGGGCTGGCAATCAACCTGCCGCTCTCCGTTGTGGCCTACGTGGAGCTTTGGCACCACCCAACCGACCACTACGCACTGCCCACTGCCCACTGCCCATGGCTGCTCGCCATTACTTATCAACTCCACTCCAAACGTAATCAAGCCCCAGTCTCACTCAGCCTGCACCACCCGCCGCCGCCCCAAATACAAACACACTCGCCCGCCCAATGACATCAAGCTTAGTGCATGCCGTTTAAGCTTACCACCGTGCCACGCCCATACCAAACCCAAACACACGGTAACCCAGCCCGTCTCTCTGCCCTCCACATGACATGCCCATGCCTGTGCCCATGTCTGTGCCTGTGCTCGCCCACAATCTCCTGCATTTCGCCCGCGCCTGATCGTCGCTCTTCAACACTACTTACTCTTACTACTATACTACTCTAACCAAGTATCCTTTTACATGCACACATAATTAATCCCCCCCTTCCAATTCACTTGTGCAATCCCTCTCCCCCCTCCCCCTCAGCTCACCTACCCTCCCTACCATCACTGGCCTCCACAGCGCCACGGCACCTAGCGTCTCAGCTGCCCTAGACAGACAAAGGCCCGAATTGGCCTTTATTGGCACTGGGTCACACTCAAGCCAGCCAAGACACACACAAACACTCCCGTCGACTTTGGCACCACCAGCCAAGATGCCACCCACCAACGCTTCCTCCTGCTCTTTCCGCTGCCTGATTCCACCATTCCACCATTCAACCACCCCTTCCCCTCATCCGATTCGCCAACATGCCGCGTCATCCGGCTTCCCTCCCAAGCCCGCCCAGCGTTGGCTTCTCCACCCCCCTCCTCTTTTCGTGCGCTTGTCCTAAACTCCCCGATTGTCCATACTTACACATACGTAACAAGCCCACTACTGCTACAAGCAAGAAACCCAACTGCCTATCTATCCGTTCGCATCCGCTACAATCACACCATTTCCAGCTTACACCGCAACTCTCTCTTATTTTTGCTTCTTTGGCCCCATCCATACAGGCTACTAAAATCAGCCCGTTTTCCGATTCGCTTAACAACTACTGGGGGGGGGGTGCTGTTAGAACAAGGCACTAGTCGACTTAGCCAGCGTAAGCAGATAAGGTTGGTTCGTAAACATTAAGCATAATTCTCTGGCCCGCTTTGTTCCCTAGGCTATTTTCCAGCCCTCTTCCCCCTCTTTCTCTCTCAGCTCTCTCTCTCTCTCCCCCCCAGAACAAGCGGTGGCAAAACAGCACACGCCCACCGCGCAAAAGCCACTGGTTGTGCTAGCGTAAGAGGAATGTGTAATATGTGACATGTGATATGTCCCTACTCTGCAACAAAAAAAAATACTCCATGAATCGTATCGCATAGACCAAGCGTAAAATATCCAACTCCGTACATCGGCTTTGTCGGCGCAACCCCACCCAAAAAAAAAGCCACACAGACTGAAATCATGCGAATACATGCCCGCTCAGCTCAGCTCAGCCTGTGCAGGCAGTAGTAGCAGCAGCAGTAGCATCAGCCGCCACACACACACCCGACGCTGCCTTATGCAAACCCTTCCCTTTCCACCTCACCTCTTCCTTTTCCCGTTTCCCGCCGCATAAACACACTCATCTCCCATCTCCCTCTATCTCTTCCTCCCCCAAACCGCTTACTTTCCACATACCCCTACATTCCACTCTCTCCGTTCCACATCCAACCACAGAGACCCACCCTTGCCCTCGTATAAGTAAACCCCAGGCCGCACAATCCATTTTCAGACCCAAGTTATAAAAAAAAAAGGAGTTACAAAACGGCCCAAGATGACCTTTTTGCTCCCCGTTCTCCCTCTAAACTACGTGATTGCGAGTAATCCCCGTAACGTTAAAGTCAGAGATGATGGTGTTTTTTTTATTATAAAAAAAGTAAAGTATATCGGCTAGGATAACTTGATACTTATTACTACTACTACTGCTACTTACGGCTGCAGGGGCCCGAATTACGTCTTTTTTTTCTAAAAAAAAAATAGCAACAACAACATCCCGGGCGTGAATGTATTAGAGAGTCAATAAGGTAGGGATTTGGGGGGGGGGGATTGGGGGTGTGAAGCCGAGGCAAAGTTGAATTTTTATATTAGTTAGCCTTATAAACATACGATGGGTTTCCCTTGGCCCCGTTTTTTTTTGTTTTTTTTTCCTCCTCCATTCCTTCGTTATGCCCTTTTTGCGTTTAACTCTTGAGCGAGCTTCCCCCCTACCCCCTCCCCTTGCGTATATGAATTTATCCGGTTGGACTTTCCTAGCGTGTAAATGTTGGGTTAGGTAATATGTATGTATGTATGTGGACTAAGAGGATTTAGATGAAATCAACCCCGGGGAGAATTGGGGGGGGAGGGGGAAGCTATTTTATTCTAGTTTGTTTGCTTTCTTTTAAAAAGGAAAACACTTTTCTATCGGGAAATAAGATAAGTCCGTAGTGTAGGTGTGAGATATATATATTGCTGCAGCTTGGCGATGGGATGAATGGATGGATGAATGAATGGGTGTGCAAAGTGAAATTACGGGGGACTCCCGATGCGACTATTATTACTACTAGTTACGGGAAGTTTGCGACATGATTGGCATTGTCGGACTTTTGCAAGCAAATAAATTTCGAGGCGTTGGGCTTACTGTGTTCGATCTGACACATACGCACATATGTTCCTCACCCGCGTGTATATTTTTTTTGCGTAATGCTGAGTGTGAGGGACGAAAAAAAAAGGGGGGGCTGTGTAAACACTGCATAAGACGCTGAGAGGCGAAGAAGGAAATGGCGTCTTGGATTTTATTGGATCGATATAGGCACATGTCTTGTCTCTCTTCTTGTCCGAGGTTTCGGAATTCCCTTTTTGTTCGCCGTGTAGGGTCTCGGGGTCTTGGATGCTTACATTGGATTACGTAGGCTAAGAAGTTCGCGTTAGCAATAGCGTCTGCCTAGAGAGAGAGAGAGAGAGAGAGATCCAAGGGATTAAAAAAAGCGATTCATGGGGATTGTGAAATAGGCGTGATCTAAAAGGGGAATATTGTAGCCCGTTTTTTGGAATATGAGATAGGGGTATCAAGGATAGACGTTGAAGCAAACATTCTCTTCCAAACTGACCATTGAACTCTGGTTACCGCGATGCGCAGTATGACTAAGAAAAAGCTCCAAACCTTAATGCCCAGATTGTGAGATGCCAAGCAGCCCAAACTGTATATGCATTGAATCGTGAGTTATAAATTAGTGTTTCAAAGGCGATCACACTACAAGGATGGCCAAATGCTTATTTTTGTTTTCCCTCCAGTCCCTATTTTCCTTTCTCTCCTTTTTTAGTAATGGATTGTTCGTGTCACTACTGTGATTGGACTAGCGTGTATTGAGCCACGATCGTATAATAGAATTATCATTTTGGGGGGGGCGCTTCGATATTTTGTTTGATTTGCAGGAGGACTTTGGGTTAGCGCTGATATGAGATTGCGTACATACACACCTGCTGTATTTGTGTACATATGCACGTGCATGGGGCTTTTTTGTTGAATTTTTGTGAGGAGAAAAAAGATTCCTCGTGCTATACGACAAAGTTTGAGAAATAGGGAAGGTTACTCGAAGAGGTATGCGTGGAATTGACAAGCAATATCAAGGCTGAACTTTGATATGGAAAACCGTTGAGGTACTATATAGTTCAGCCCAGTACTTCTAGTGGGAGATAACAGGGAATGGAAAGTGAAGATAAAAGAGGGTATGTGAAACATGTGATAAGAAGTCGCTAGGTAGGGAGATAAGAGACTTTGAAGATTACTTCACTCACTCTCCCCCCCCCCCCCCCCCCCTACTCCTTCACAGCCTTCAACCTAATCATCAGCCCCGGCTTCTTCCAAAGCGTAAACACCTTCTGTGCTGCCATCCAATCACTCTCTTTATCCACAAGCTCAAGATCAAACGAGAAAAGGACGCAAGTAATGACAAGACGGAGTTCGGCCCAAGCGAGACTATTCCTCAAGTTAGCTTTATTTCTCTTCAACGATTCTCAGGTAGGAAGAAAATAGAGACGAGACATACTTCTTCCCAATACAATTCCTCGGTCCAAAACTAAACGGATTCCATCCCTCCTTTTTATCCCCACTATACTCTGCATTCGCGCCCTCAAGCCATCGTTCCGGCACAAACGCGTCTGGGTCTTTGAAATGGCGCGAGGAATGGTACATGGCATATTGACTAACATACACCGAAGTACCTCCTGGAATGTAGTGTCCCGAGATGTTGCCTCCGCCTTGTGGAGCAACGCGCGGGAAACCAGTGGGGACAGGGGGATATATACGCAGCGTTTCCTGGATGCAAGCGGTGAGATAAGGGAGCTGCGCGGCTTTTTCCGCATTAATGTCTGCGAGAGAGGTGAATGCGGAGCGGATTTCTTGTACTATCTTGGCATAAACATCTGGGTGTCGGAGGATGAAAAAAGTGAATCCAGATAGTGTTGTAGCAGTTGTCTCGCTGCCGGCAGTCAGAAACGTAACGGCGTTTGCATCCATTTCGGCGCGCGATAATCGCTTCTCTTCGCTGACGTGGTTGCGCATGAGCTGGCCGAAGAAATCCGGCTTGTCGTCGTCGCCGTTTTCAATCTGTGCGAGGCGCTCCGATACTTTGGCTGAGGCTTTGAGACTGAATTGGCGGCGGCGCTCTTCGCTCTGCCTGGTGTCCTGAAAGATGTTGCGAGCCCAATCGTAGAATCCTACAAAGCCGTACTTGCGCGTCGACATTATGCTGGCCACGCTTGTCGCGCTGTAGACTAGGTCAATCCATTCGTGGTTCTCCGAGTCGCGCAGGCAGTAGAGAGATTCGCCAAAGGCCAGGTCGGCGATGATGTCAAAGGTTGTGTAGTCTGTTTTACACGTAGTGACTCAGTTTGTATATCCCTTTTTTTAAGACTTGCAAAAAAGGTTGAAAATACTCACTGTACCAGCGAACAATGTCCATGACTTCGCCTCGTGCAGCATGCTCACCCATACGCTGAACAAGCAAATCAACATAGCCTCGGAGAAGAGATTCCTGCTGTCGAAGCGACTTTTCACTAAACAAGTGCGAGAGGTTACGGCGCTGGCGAGAGTGAGCTTCTTCGTCGGCGCTGATCATAGACCGTACGCCAGCGATGGGTTTGGGGCTATTTCATGAAAGTACTCTTGTCAGTAATCTTACTACTCATATCTACAAACCACACAGTTGATATGATACTTACTACCACGCGTGGTCTTTCAGGTATGCTCCTGTACCCTTGTACTTGCCCGTGCGGAAGCCGTAAATGTCAGACCAGGCAGTATCTGCCGAAGTAAATGAGACCTCATTCGGAGCCACGCGAACCGCGTCTCCATATTTTTCGTGCAGCTGCGTGATCCATTCGGAAAGTTCGCCATTGCGCGTCCTGATTACATATGGGAGAGGACCGGCCCGCGCGAGAAGAGGTCCAGGAACGTGTCGGAGTGGGTGGAAGAATAGATTATATATGCCACATCCCAGGACGTAAATGGCAATCTGCGTTGAACGTTATTCATATGCTTTTCCTTTGATTATGTGCAGATACAGCACGTGACAAGTAGAAGGGGGAAAATAAACCATCCCACTTACCGAAGCCAGAAAGATCCCAGCTGAAAACACAATCCCGCTCGCACTCACCACCTCGAACCCCACGCGATCAGAGATAGTCTCAAGAAACATCTTTACCCCGAAAAATTCTCGTCAAATTCAAGGAAGATGTATTTCCCGACTACCCATCTCACAGCCAAAAAAAAGCACACCAACCTAGGCAAATGCGTGTGTGATGCAAGGACTCTTTAATACCACTTTATACCTATTTATAAACCCTGAACCGACTAGCAGTAGCTAAGAAAGAAAAAAAAAAGTGCAACCGAGCAACCGAACAAATACTCCAGACCCCGCCCCTTGTACACACACTCCGTATTTGTCTCAAATACACAAAAGATCTACTGTACATATGCAAGAAGTAAATGCCAACGGGACGTATCGGACCAGCGCACCAATCCCCCCCAAGTGCTGGTTCTAGAAACTTGGTCACGTACATAGTAACCCCGGTCCATGTTCCCCCCACCCTCCCCTCCTCCTCCTCCTTCTCCTCCTCCCCTCCCGCAAAAGCTGAAGCAAGAAAAATAAATAAATATGTATGTGTAAGCAGGTTTAGCGTGTCTAACATACGTAACTCGTGCGTAATTCCTGCATGACAAGAAGAGAAGGGGATTTGCTCTTCACTCGTTCATACGTATTGGTTTTTCTTATTAGCTGATCTGCGCGTGTGTATAATAGTGGTTACCGCCAAACGCAGATGCTTTAACAACGGCTTATGGGCGGCGGTGAGAACAAATAAAGTAAAGTAATAAGTAAAAAAAAAGCGGGTTTTCGGCCGAGCAAGGGCGATCGACGGACCGTTGAGCCTCTCGGTGGCATCCGGCTTTGTTCGGTGGAAATGTACTGACTATTCGCATTTGAGTAGTAAGTAAAGTAGTGGATTTTTAGGCGCCTACATATCTAAAAGAACTGTGGGGCTCTCAAAGAAAACATGTTTCTGGGGTGTTTTTTTTGTTGGGTTTTGCAAAGCAGAGCTGAAAGAGGTGTGGTTGCCCTTTTTTTTCTTGCGTTGCTGTTGTGAGATGCAGCTGGTGAGGGGGTGGCTACTACTAAGGGCTTGGTGGGATGGGTAGCGTGTGGTTCGAGAGAGGATTACCCCGCTGTGTACGAATGCATGGTTTTCGGTACGGGAATGGGGGAAATAGCTTTGGTCTGGCATGTGAACCACCGAAATGGATAATGGTGACTTGAGCAACGTGGAAGAGGTGGAGAGAGGTTAGTGGTGTGGAGCCTGGTTGGGTCTTGCATATGGCTTGATGTGCAACAAGGAGCTTTAGTATAGTAGTATATCGGGTCAGCAGGAGCGATGCCAGTCTATCCTCTCTCAATGTACTTACGCAGATATCTGAACATCGTCTTTTCATTCCATGTACACGGCAGTTGCCTCGGCCCGTCAAACTTTATTTCCCTCATCCCTACCAGTAAACCCAGGCCCGTCAGTCAGCTGCATGCATATCCAAAATCGATCATATGCCGAACTTGTACCAATGTGCTGCAATTATACTCAATTTATCATCTCAAAGAGTATTGAGAGAAGTGCCTAAGAAAGGAGAGGGATTTCATGTTCATCTCCTCATTCCGATATCCTCAAAAGAAAAATCCCACATAATTCCCAATCCGTCGTCAAGTAACTTCCTGTATTTCTTCCCACGCCAAACGGGCAATCCGAACAGCCACCTCTTCCCATAAACCCAACACCATACCCACTCTCTATCTTGTCAACCTCCTCGATCCACTTCCACTTTCACAAAAAGTCAGCAAAACATTCACATCTTTAACCCCCAGCACCAGCACCGGCACCAGCACCAATCTCACCCTCCCCTCCCCCTAAAAAAGAAAATCAAACTCACCTCTTCTCCGTCGCCGCATTCCACGTCTTAACAAACGCCTTCTGCGTCCTATCCGTATACTTCTCCGCACTAACCTCCCTCACCCCAACCCTCGCCCCATCTTTCGTAAAGACGACGTTTTTCTTCTCCATATGCTTAGTTCCGCGCTCGGCTAGTTCTTCAGAGTAGAGGAAGATCTGTGCATTCATCATCAGCAATCAGCTTATATATATATGTCCACTTTACGAAATTTTCTGATTTCGCAGTAGTCGGGCGCGCAGGCGAGCCGATGGCATGCTCGCTTGCGATCGCTTGCGCTCAACATGCGGGGTTTGGCAGTTGACGCGATAAGAAGAACAAGGGGGGAAAAAGGCGTACTTGATACCCAACCCATCCCAACCCAGCAACAACGGCAAAGAGGATAAACAGCGGAATCAGATTCGTGGCACCCATGATTTCTTTTTTTTAACTGGATCGAGTCGAGTGGAGAACAATAAAAGTGGCTCGTGTGAGGGCGCGGGCGCAGACGCAGGCGGTGGGGGGAAGTAAAGTGACGTGGTACGCGCGCGAACTGGAAAGCAAGTGACTCGAGAGAGCGTGTGTGTGCGTGCAGAGAACGGTGGGCGCGGGGGGGCGTGGCGCGCGGGGTGATGCGTCGAGCGAGTGAGAGCGAGCGAACGAACGAACAAACGAGCGATCGAAAAAACGAGTGGAAGACGTTAAGTAGCTGAGAATACAACAAACAGTATGTTAAAGCGAGATACACCAAGCTTCTTATTCAAGTGGCGTAAAGGCTTACACACTTCGTCCGAAAAAAAAAAGATCGTGGCTCAGCGCACCACACCTTTTTGTTAAAATTACTTTCAAGGGGGGAGGGCAAGTGGGTGGAAAGGGGAAATAACGCGCTCCATTTTACCTTAACATGGCGCAGTCTATGCCTCCCCAGACGCTGCTGAAACCCTGGATTGCGACGGTAGTCAGCTCTTAGCGTCGAGTGTGTGGTCGGCCCGCACCCGATCTATCCGGGCATTCTCATCGTTCGTCCGCTTGGCGGTGATTATCTTTATTTCGCGGGCATGGGGGGAAGGCCGGGAGCCATTTGTTTGACGGTGTATAATATCATGCTGTAGATGTTGTCTTGGATCAGGTAATCACATGGACCCTGGTGTATGCGCCTCAAGAGGGATCACACGAACTTGTGCGCAGGACGGGGAGGGTCACGATACGAGACGCCCCCGTATATATATACTTTTGTGGTACTTGCCGGGAATGTGATCGCGATGTTTCTTGACATGACATCTCTTTTTTTTGCGCTTTTTTCTTATTGATATCTGAATGACTCTTCAGAAAAAACAGCATTTTTCAAGGAAACATGGGTCCACATGTGAGAACATGTCTCCTCGCCAGAACCAGGACCTGTGCACTACTGAGTCCAAACTTGGTGCCGATAACTGAGAGCCGACCAAACAGCCAGTCGCGTTGCTCTTGTGGTACGCTCTCTGCGTTTGCTGCGACGTACAGTGGCCAGACTAACGAGTATCCACCAAAGGCTTCTGCGGCTGTAAAAACTGTCAGTACGCTGGAAAGCCTATCCTAGGTAATGTCTCAAACACTCACCGTTTTGTTCTTGACCCGTCTCCTTGGCCAAGGGCTGGAGCTCATAGCTCATATGGAAAGGCACGCATGCACTAATCTCATCCACCATTGTTTGAATGACAAACACACTCTTGTTCCATGCCTGATCTTTTTCTGAAAAGTCACCACCAGAACTCAGCCAGGTTATGCAAGCCATGATGACCCGGCGACAAAATATTCTACACACGCGGTAGTCATTCATGATACTCGCCAGTGGCACATCGTGATACACATGCTGCTCGCCCGGCCACTTCTCTGCCAAGGTAATATCCTCAGGCGCCAGTGTCTCATTGGATATGCTGATAATGCGGTGTTTCCATTCCGATGGCAGTGTGCGGTACCATTCTTCAAGGTTCCCATCGACTGTTTGTGCGAAATCGAGTATCTGCTTGGCCTCGGATTCATACCGGGGGTCATACGGCATAGACGTGAGGGTATTGGCACGGGCGCGAAGATTAGGTAGGTCAATGCAGATGAGTGTCAACCGGTTGGCAGCGTTTTCATCACTGAACTCGCCAGTGCCAAGCCATCCTGCCGCACCGGGAAAAGACTCGATGGGCTTGGATCGCTGCACACAGCTTGTAATCTACATTCACTCAGTTGCCGATCCCAAAGGGTAGAGTATGGGGGTCTTACCATCATTGTGCGCACTGCACGAAATATAGCATGAGACATGGGGTCGTTGAATTGCTCCGTTCCTCTTAATTTTGTCAATGCGACAGCTCCGTCGACATGATTCCCCCATGCTCTGATAGTATCATCGGTACTCATGATCGTCTGCAGGTTGTCAGATAAGCTCATTCGTCCATCGACTCGAAACACGAATCGAATCAAGCCTCACGACTTACTTCATACAGAGAGAACATGAGTATAGCAAGCACTGTCTCATCGCTCTTGGACATCTTGGGATCTCGAAGATCTTCGTGTAGCTTCTTGATGGCTTTGCCGTAGGTGGATACAGCTTCGCGGAGGAGCCGGTGTCGACCAGGATACTGACCACATGTTGCCATTGCAACAGCATCAGTGGCGAGGTGCAGTACAGATGAGGGACGGGCACGGTTATAAAGGGGGACCAAGTACTCGAGAAAGCCTCTTGTACTCTCAGCCTGTTGCGGCAGGGTAATGAAGTTTTTGAAGAAAAAGGGCACGGCTTCGCATTCTGGGGAGAGGAAGATGGTGCTTGGGACTGTGTTTTCAAAGTTCCAGATGAATTTCTCGAAGTCGAATGACTTATCCAAGGATTGCGAAGGTGTTGTAGGGCTGGACAGTGCTAGTAGCTGCTGTGATTGGATCGAGTCTGATCGCTTTTGCGACTTTGATTTTGCCCTCCTAGAGCCCTCACTTCGTTGGAGCGCATTGTCTACTGGCCACGCCTCGAACGTTGAAGATGGTGACCTGATAAGATCAGCTGGGTTCTCGTCCTGTGCGAATCACAAAGCAGCAGACAGTCGACACTGACAGAAAGACAATGGCATCCAAGCACATGATGGAGCTGATTGGTGCGGGCTGTATCACTAGTGGTTCGGTCTAATACATACAGATATGGAGAAGTTTGCGAGCTGGAACTCCCAGTACTACTACTTGACCGAGTAGTCCCGGGGGATTTCCGCGCCTTCTTTGCCATTGCCTTGTTCTCGTCCCGGAAAACCAGATCGAAATCGTCTGGATATCCTGGACACACACGGGCTGATTTCTTGCAGTTGCCACATGTCGGCCGTTTTTCGTCGCACTGGGTAAGGTTAGCGGACGGGCTAGAGTGTACGTAAAAGCGGTTGCGGTTACTCGCAAAGGATTGCCTGGACCCTTGGTGGTATGGAAAGAGAAATGGTTGCGAGGAGAAGATACATACCTTTATTCGGCGGGTCTTGCACATGCCACACCCACGGCTCGGCTTACCGGTATAAACCATGGTTGTATAAGAGCAATCGACGAGACGTAACAAAGATAAGAAACAGTCTTGTCCTGACACTTGGGCGCAATCCAATACTAGTTTTTTTTGTTTGTTCTGGCAGGCCTGACTATAAGCGAATTGTCAATGGAGCAGTGATGTGCCTGAATCGACGTCTGGTGACACTGCCCCTAAAGCGTACGACTACTATTAAATCTCCGTCACCACTAAATTGCAGCAGGCGTCGTCAAGTGACGAAACTTGGATAAGGTTCTGAGCAGGCGGAGGTTCAGCGCTGCGACGACCGAGGCACGCAGCAGCCGGCTCGAAGAATCGAGTTTCATACGGTGGTCAGGACGGCCATGCGTGCGGGCAATGCGAGGTCTTGAGCCCTAGGGCAGGATTTCGCGATCGGACGGCTGGAGATGCAAGGAGACAAGATAGACTGGCCAATGGGGAGGGCCGGAGGCGTAAGTTCACACCAGGAACAGCATCTTCAAGACGGCAGATGGAAACATTGGCATTCCGAATCGACGGACAAGTGCGCACCGAAAGTCCATGACCGAAAATGCGGTTGGTGGTCGATGTGTTTTCTCGCAAGCAATACCAGATGCGGCCTAGGGCGGCAACGAAAACAGTGGCGCAGCTGCGTGGCCGTGTTGGTCGCATTGCTTGCTGGGCGTCTTGAAAAGGAGCGCCATGTCACTTGAGTGTTTTAATCTTGCTGCCTGGCCTTTTGTGTGTGCGTGCATGTGTAGGCACTTCACTGGCGCGACCCTGCCGCGTCACACTCTGCCGCCTCTGCAGCAAAGGGCGACGATATCTAATGACGAGATGATACAGAAATGACCGGAATGCGAGGAACGAGAGAGTGAGTCGGGCCAAGCAAGGGAGGGAAAAAAGAGCAGGCACATGGGTGAGGAGGGCTGGTTGGGGTCAAAACAAAGGGCGAGTCGGAAACTCAGAGAGCTCCGAGGCAACGCACCCAGCGAAGAGGAGGCAGAGGGGTCCCTTCCCTGAAACTCAGGACGCGCCTTCCGATTCCAACTCTGACGGCAGTCACGATATCTTGGCTATGCGACGTCAATATTGCTCTGGAATGCTCACTTGTGCGCCTGTTTCCGAGCGTCATCTTGGCCTGCAGTCGTGGTGGTCAGTCATCAAGTCAGACTGCAAACAGAGCAGCTCAGAACTGGAGCCGAGTTCCGGTCACAATGTTGAGGGCGCCCAACATGATGCGGATGATTTACGGTGGGAGAGGAGAGGGTGAAAAGTCCGCCGGAAGTACCGGACACAGTATTCAAGCACGAGGCATGTATTTTGGAAGAAGCAGACGAGATGAAGGCGTCTTGTGCATGGCTATGGGGTTGCATGTCATTGCAATGAGTCGACTCTCGAGCGATGTACCGTGCTTTGACAGGAATCCAAGTCACGTGACGCACATGTGAGCGGTCCTTGTGAGCATACAGTACAAGCAACAGCAGCAGGTCGAAGCGGTCACGTGGGCTTGCTTGGTAACGGCTTGCCGTGGGCAAGTGCAAGGCTTGATTCAAGGCGAGATAGCGGCGGGCATGCGAAATTAGCAGGAAATTACTTCGGATAAACCGTTCTAGATCCCAGCCTTAACACGGCACTGACATGGCAAGGAGCAGCTAAGCGAAAGTGAGTGTATAGAGATTAATGAATAGCATGTTATACCACGACTGTGCAAGAGGGAACCGGACAAGGCGATTGTATCCATCTGTGTACGTAGTAGTAGGGAAAAAAAGAAAAGAAAAGGGAGCAATGAAAAGGCGGACTTGACAGGCGCGTGGCCAGGGCTGTGATGGATGCAGGGCCTGATGGCGGCAAAGGGACTGGCCCAGCGGGACTCTGACTCTGGCTGGCGGCTGAGAGATCGCGTGGTCCAGGCGACGATGAAGGGGGGGTGAAGGGCATTGGACGGGCGATTTCCATGTACTCTAGGCCCTAAGCAACGACCACCAAGACACACGAGCTGACGGGAGTGTCTTGGCCAGGTGAAAAGCCTGCTGGTTGGTCATTGCATGCTATTGTTGCTGCTATTACTGACTTGCTGCTGCCGCCAGCGGATGCCATGAGCAATCACCAGCAACACCTTTTTTCTATGGACGCGTAAGATATTTCGGTCCTCTGCCTGCACAGCCCTGTCTTGATCGGACGTCATACTCGGACCAGCCACTGCAACCGTCAAAAGTGACCATATGCTGGCCCTGCATTCAGAGATACCCGTCTATTTTTACGCGCACAGCCACGCCATCAACGGTCGGCGCGAGAGCCCGGCGACCAGGGTCGCAGCAGAGACATGGCTTTTGGACAGTTGTTGAGCAATTGTGCATGAGCAGCGTCATTATCAGCAGCGGTGGCGGCAGTACTATCTGGTAGCAGCAGAAGCGGCGTCCCGTTGTGGGAGCATGGGGTTTGCGAGGAATTACGAGAAGGCCCAAGAGAGCCATGTGTTAAGCGTCTCTGGGGGATGCTTGGGGAGGGCGGCGAGTGGTCTTGGAGCGGACCCGAGTGAGGGGCGTCGATAGGCTGGTCTTGGAGTAGCATTGCTCAGCTCGTGTGGGCGATTACGAGACTGTCTTTGCTGGCAGCAGACAGGTCGAGTTAGTTGGCTAGTGTGTGTGTGTGCACCGCCGTGAGCTGTCTTGCCATTGTCTTCTTAGTACTGCTAGCGGTGTTTTATGTAGCTAGTCCCCTAGTACAGAGTCTGTAGCTGTATCTGCGAGCGCAGGGCGGCTGATAAAAAGAAACGCAATCCCGCGCCCTCTGCAACAGTCTCCCTGCTACACCTGCTCCGAGTTCCCCTTCCGCCTCGTCGCCCAGCTCGTTCGTGTTCTCGAACGCGGCCCAACAAGCATCCTTCGATAGCGTTGGATCCAGAGGCCTGCGCCATTCCCCCATCCCAGTGCAGCTAGCGCCGCGCGTCTTTGCCTGATTCGCGTGCCCGCCCCCCCTTGCCTCGCTGCCCGCACGGTTTCAGACCACAGCAGAATACTGGGCTCGGGCGCCTCTCTTCCCTCTCCTCAACCACCACATCGCTCGCTCTCGTTCGTTATCTGTTTCACCTGTGCTACCGTCGCTTCTGCCAGGACGCTTGCCCGCCCACTGCCTGCTTCACGGCGCAACCGCCCCCTCTTGTTTTTTTTGTCCTTCACTTTCCACAACTGTTCTGCTTGACACCACGCCCGCATACTCGATTTAATCTATCTGTTTCTCCCTTTTTCCTTGCCCTCGAGGCACGTCCATCGCACACGCCCTTCGTTATCGACAGTCGCTCTCCCCCTGTGAGGAACGCCCGCGGGCGGACGACCACCAAACACCAGCAACAATGAGACTCAACACGAGATACTCGACCATGCTCGCCCCCATCATATTACTCGCCTCGGCCCCTCTAGGCGCATTGGCGGGCGACATTTTGCAAACCAACGGCTTCAGCTCCTGTCTCGATGGCCCTTCGGACATTGAAGTAAACAAGCTCGACATCAAATTCGACCGCTCCACCAAGAAGGTTACCTTTGATGTCTCCGGCACAAATGAGAAGACGCAAAAGGTCATGGCCACCCTCACGGTAGCAGCATATGGTCGAAACGTCTACAACAGAACCTTCAACCCTTGCGATGGTGACTCCAAGGTTGACCAGCTGTGTCCAGGTACGTAAAATTCTCTCTTCTGGCGCCTTCATCAGATCAAATCCTAACCCAGCCCAGTTCCTTCTGGTACATTTAGCGCAAAAGGTGAACAGAGCATCCCAGACGATATCATGTCCCAGATCCCCGGCATAGCTTTCAACATTCCGGATATCGACAGTCAGGCCAAGATGTACCTCCGATCTATTGACACCAACCAAGACCTGGCATGTATCACCTCGTCAGTCACCAACGGAAAATCCCTTTCCACCACGGGTGTGCAGTACGTTGCTGCAGGAATCGCTGCTGGTGCTCTGGCCGTCTCTGGCATGGCCGCCTTTGCGAGCGCCGGACACGCTGGCGCCCCTCAGTCCAGTCCTACCTTTGGAGACGTCGTTGGATGGTTCCAGGCCATGTCACTCAACGGCATGATGAGTGCCGACGTTCCTGGCGTTTATCGCAACTGGGCCAAGAACTTTGGTTTCAGTACTGGTCTTATCTGCTGGGACGACATGCAGCGCTCCATTGACACGTTCCGTAAGAATACCGGCGGCAATCTCACCGAAAGCAACTACGACTATCTCAAGAACGCGACTCTTGTCCACGTGAACCAGGACAAGAGTTTGAGCAAGCGCGCTATGAACCTGCTTCTCTGGGCTCGTGACGAGCTCAGCACCAATGTCAACCAGGACTCAGCCCCACAGGAGAGCGACAACAAACTCATGATCTACGCAAAGGACATGCAGGGCTATATTCAGGAGTACTCAATCCCTGATCGCAATGCCTTTATGACTGTTCTGCTCATCTTTGCCATTGTCGTCGCTGCCATCACCGTCGGTATCCTGCTCTTCAAGGTTATTCTGGAAACCTGGGCCCTCTTTGGCAGCTTCCCCAAGCGTCTGACGAGCTTCCGCAAACGATACTGGTGGACCCTGGCAAAGACCATTACCAACTTGATTCTCTTGCTCTACGGTATCTGGGTCCTCTACTGTGTTTACCAGTTCAAGAATGGTGACTCTTGGGCCGTCAAGACATTGGCTGGTATCACTCTGGCTGCTTTTACTGGAATTCTGGCCTTCTTCACCTGGAAGATCTGGACCATTGCGAACAAGTTCAAGAAGATGGAAGGCAATCCCGATGTTCTCTATGACGACAAGGAAGTTTGGCGCAAGTACAGCATCTTCTACGAAAACTACAAGAAGAGCTACTGGTGGATTTTCGTACCGGCCATTGTCTTCATCTTTGCTCGTGGATGTGTCATTGCAGGCGCAAATGGCCACGGTCTTGCTCAAGCCGCCGGTCAACTTATCGTCGAATCCCTACTCCTCATCATGCTTCTCTGGGCTCGTCCGTACTCTCTCAAGTCCAGCAACTGGATCAACATCTCCATTTCCGTTATCCGCGTTCTGTCCGTCGTCTGTATCTTGGTTTTCGTCGAGGAGCTGGGCATGAGCCAGACGACAAAGACCGTCACTGGTCTTGTGCTTGTCGTTGTGCAGGCTACTCTGACGGGTGTTTTGGGTATACTCATCGCAGTCAATGCAATCATCATTTGCTGCAAGGAGAACCCTCACCGCAAGAAGAGAAAGGAAGCCGGTAAGTTCAGAAACTCATTCGTACACAAACAACTCTAACAGTCCTCTAGAGAAAGCTCGTGACCTCGACAACCTTACTCCTCTCGACGCACGCAACTCGCTTCTTATGGATCCTCAAGAGTACAAGCGTAGCTCTCTTCCCTCGCCATTTGGTCCCCGCACCGAGGGCTATGATCGCGTGCCTCTTGCCGACCAGCACACGGCCTATCCGGGTCCTGGTGGTCGCCAATTTGGAGACGACCAAGGCCACCTGCTTGCTGATGCCTCAACATTCGGCCGTGCACCTTCGCATGACCGAATGAGGAGTCATGACAGCAGCCCAGGACCCGATGCGGAGATGGGATACCACCAACCTCCAGGATACGTCCCCAACGCACCCTGGCAACCTCAATCTCAACGAGGTCCGTACTAGGTTGATAGGTCTCCAGCATCATTTCCAAGCGAAGACCTAGACGGAGTGTAGATACATGTACCGTCCGGGCACTGATTCCCCACTTTCCTTGAGTCTTTTGTCCTGTATTTGGCGGTGGTTGTTTGACAGATAGAGCGTGTCAAATATACCCCATTACCAGCTCCATTGCATCTGACGAGGCACGCCCTATACGGCTGTCTTGCTCGGCCCCGATAACGAATCTTTCATTGAGTCGTTTTTATTTCATTTTATTTTTTTCCTTGCATCTCTGTTTTCCTGTTTTTGGCCCGCAAGTAAGAGATCTGATACCAGTTCTTTTGTAATTCTCACGTCAAGCGCTAGGCCTGGGGCTTGCGCCAATCTCTTCTTTATTCTGTCATTGTGAAGGGGAAGGAAAAATGAAGTCAGGGGGAGGAGAGGGGGGGGGATAAGTTGGAAAGCCTGGGAGCTTGTGAATAAAGAAGAGGTGGAAGACATAGAGATATAGAGTGGAGGAGGTGGAAGTATGTAAGGAGACTGGGAATGTCTAGTGTAGATGTCAAACACCATATACCAAATATCAAATATCATAAGATTCAAAAATTTGAATATTGTACAGTGAGCCAGTGATATTGTTGTCTAGAGATTCACTTGATGTACTACCGGGGGTTTTCCTTTTTCATTTGCTACGTTCTATGATGAACGGAATGGAGCAGAGCGGTCACTCGCCCTTTCCAAACAACCAACGCACCTAATGCATCCCACCAAAGCCATTGCACCCTACCACGTTTCTTTTTCGGACGAAACCAATCGCAGTTGGTCAACCAGTTTAGAATAGCCTACGTCATGCAACCCCTCGTTCTATGCAGTACCCAGGGCAGACTTGTAACACAGTAAGTAACCCCCCCCCCTTGTTCCTCTAATTACATCGCAAGTAATCTACACTAAAGCGCATAGAAACGGACGATCCGCCAACCCTCCGCCCGAAAGACCGGACGTAGTCCTTCACGCAAAGACATGTCCACGCCAAGCATCCCTTTTACACCTGTACCCTTCTCCCCACAGCCTCATCGCCTCTTCCTACATTTCCCCTTCCCCTCGCCTCTTCCTTCCATCTGCGAAAGCAAAAAAGAAAAGTAAGAAGAAGAAAAGAGAGTTCCCCCAACGCCCGTTGCAAAACCGCAGCCGAAATGCTACTTGTGTCTCGCTTCCAGACGCGACAACTCGCTACGCTGCGGCTGAACTCCGCGACTACTTACTTTACGCGACCGGGGTGGTGGGGAGCAACCGCGAGCGCGCGGGCTTTTGCGGCTCAGCTTTTGTGGCTGGCTAGCTAGCTTTTTTTTTTACCGTTCCTGCGTCAGGGAGACAAACAACGCCCCTTCTCTTCGTTGCGTTACTTTACCGCCAACACCGCTTCGCAAAGCATTCGTCACTTCTCTCTCTCTTTCTCTCGCATTCACACGTGTACATGTTATTATGCAAGGCAGGTTTTATCTATTATTGAATATATAGTTAGAAGAGATATCAACCCTGCTAGATTTAGCATGCATGCGAACGGCACGTCGCTTCCGCTTTATCTCTCTCTTCAACCCAGCCCAAGTGCGGGTGGGGTGTGTGTGGGGGGGGACAGGGCAAGTGCAAGTGCAAGTGCAAGTCCGGATTCGATAGTCAGTGGCCAAGAACGGTCCAATTCTAGCCCGGGGGCCCTTTCTCTTTCTTTTTTAGGTCTTAACTATTCCGGCGGTTCAACGACATAGGCCAAGCCGAGTAAAGAGTCTTGTCGCCTTTTTTTCTCTTCCCTCCACCCGGATGGAAATTTTGAGTTTCGGAGGCGGCGGGAGGAGGGGAGGGCGGATTTCTTGGATGCTGGAATTGGGGGTGGGGGGAGGGTTGTTGGCGGTCTCAGGATTGGAATGCGATGCGATAACCATGGACTAGTAGTAAAGTAAGTAGTTGGCGGAACGGCGTAGCCGAGAGATACAAAGTTCTGTCGTTGTTTCCTATTCTTCCTTTTGAAGGTTCATATCCTTGTTTTTCTCTGTGCACGAATGCGAATAAAGCCTCCTCTCCCTAAATAAGGGAAAAGATGCAACGAAATGTTGTTCTAGCCCGCTATCGCGAAGGAGGTGTACCCGCTGTTTTGGGTATTGGTATTGACAAGTTGCATGCCAAGGGCGACAAACGGGGTGCGTTTTTTGGTGGCTTGCGCCGTATCGGCAGATTTCTTGGACCCTTTTCCACCTCCTTTTAAGGTTAGGACGGCTGCGCGTGGCGGGCTTGAGTGGTCCCTTTTGGGATTGGTTTGATGTTGTGTAAAGGGCAGAAAGATTGGGGGGAGGGCGGATGAAAAAGAAGTCGCTTTCTGTCGTCCGATAACCTTTTCTCTTTCTCTCTTTCTTGCGACTTCGAGAGAGTCGTTCTCTCGTTTTTTTTGCTTGGGTCATTCGTTGTTGTTGACGTTTGATTTACCAGTCTCCCGTCTTTTGATCCTGTCCATTGTGTTTGCATCTGTCGTTTACAATCGCACGCCTGGTGATTCGAGGAAGTCCGCTCGTTGCAATTGCTGGTACGACTACGTTTACTCGAAAACTTACCCAGGACCTGCGGCCCGTTGCTGGTACAAAAGGATCGCCCTAGAAAAAGAAGAAGAAGAAAAGAAATCTCTCATCATATAGAATTCGCACAAAACAACCATGCGACACACCACCCTCCTCTCCGCCACAACGGCGCTCCTCGCCAGCACCAGCACCGCCCAATCCGTCGCCTCATCCTCCTCCAAACGCGGTCTCTGCCACGTCCCCTCCAACAAACACCCCGAAGACGACAAAATCTGGCTCCAAGGCCCTTCCCCGCCGACATGGTATTACAACTACAAGCCCGAGCCTACAGCCGAATACGCCAAAAACACCGCCATGCAATTCGTCCCTATGCTCTGGGGCGCCAGTCCAGACGACAAAGGCACTCCATTCCTTGATTCCGTCAAACAGCAAATTGAAAACGGCGCAAACATCTCCTACGTCCTCGGCTTCAACGAGCCAGACGGCGGCTACGACACCGGCGGCTCCAGCCTCGCTGCCAGCCTCGCCGCTGCGCGTTGGAAAGCCGAAATGGAGCCCTTGAAAGAATTGGGTGTCAAGCTCGGCGCTCCTGGCGTTACCGGCGCAGAGACTGGTTGGCAGTGGCTCGAGAATTTCTATAATGAGTGCAATGGGGGCTGCAACCCGGATTTTGTGCCTGTGCATTGGTACGGGAATTTCGAGGGCATGATGAGCCATATTGGGCGGGTCACGAGTAAATGGCCCAACTTGACGGTGTGGGTGACCGAGTATGGGTATCCGAATCAGCCGTTGGAGGAGGCGCAGGCATTTTATAATATGAGTGCTACGAGTTTTGATTCTTGGCCGTAAGTTTGCTCATCTTCCTTTTGATATCGGAAGGGGGAGGATTTTTTTTTGCGCGATGCGGGTGAGCTAACGTGTGAATTTTTATAGGAACATTACGCATTATTCGTACTTTGGGGCTTTTCGATCCGATGTATCGAATGTAGGAGCTAATGCGGCCATGTTGACGCAGGATGGAAAGTTGACGGATATTGGGTCTTGGTACTTGGGTGGTCCGGCTACGAAGAATATTCCTAAGAAGTCTTCTGCTGCCGTTGCGGTTGGTGTGCCGGCTACAGCGTATGCTTTTGTTGCTTCGGTGACTATGTGGCTGTTCTGGGCTTAAGTGGTTTGATCGCTACATGAGAAGGAGCGTTTGATGCCGAGTCATGATAGAATAGTCGCGGCTGGTGGGTATACACGCTGTAGATGTATGCTGCTTGGCCATGTGCCTCGAAAAGCTTCGCACAAGCGAGAAAGTCGGTACGCCTATGAGGATCTTAGCATTTCACTGGTGTTTGAATGCTGGGTTGTAACCAATAGATTTGTGTTGTACGGGCATGGCTATGCTCATGGTACAACGCTGGGAATAGAACTCAAACATTGATAGAGCATCTCACATCTCAAACATATCTACGTATACAGTGACATAACTTTCCCTTTACGAAGAAACGCAGGATCGTGATGCCCACGAGAAGGAATCGGCTCGCAACCCTCGCCAAGCTATTGCATTGCTCACTTTTTCAATTACCTACATTCGTCCCATCCACTTCACTTTGTATCTCTCCAAACAACTCCTTTCGTGGGCTCTAACTTTGCTTGGTTGCTGACTATTGACTGTCTACTCTTTCATTCTCTCTAACCCAAACCCAAGATTGAGGCACAGGACAGAGCCTCTAAACCACCTCTCGAAGTTTCATGTCATTACCATTGCCATCCTGCTCGAAGAAAAAAAAGCAGTAACCAAGAAAAACCAAAACCACCAAATCGTACAGCCTCAACTCATCTAGTACTCAGAATGCTTCAAGGTATAAACATTGATTGCCCAGGAACTATCTAAAACCCATATATACAATTGTGTCCTGACTCAATCCTCCTCTTAACGATAGTAGTTAAACAACCCAGTACCTCATCAGTCGTAAAAAATCGTAAAGCGTTCATCGTAACCGAACCATGTCACGCCGTATGTACCTGAGCCAACACCGACTCAGTCCTCACCACCTTACCAACCCATATACATATATACCTTTCCCCCTCTCATCTCTATCCAATCCCACCATCTCCCCTCTACAAACCCATCAAAGCAGCCGAATAAGCCAAGTACCACGTGCGACTCGCCCCACCATCCAGCGTCTCCGAAAAGCTAGGGTTCGAGAAAAACGACCACGAAGACTGGGGATCAATAAGCGCCTGGTTCGACTTGAGAATGCTCTTCCATCCACCCTGAACCTGCTCCGCACGCCCATTGCTAAAATACGTATCCCACTCCTCCTTCACGAACTTGGCGCTGCGGGTGTATGCCGAAGAAGGGTTAAGCGGAATCATATGGATGCCCTCAATGTACTCCGTGTTCGCGCCAAAGTACGTCGTGTGATCGACTTTATTCTCGAAAAGGATGCCTGTAACCTTGTTCTTCGTGAAGGTGGGAGGTTGGTTCTTGTTGTCGGACTCCATGAGGAAGTAGTTGCGAAGACTACGGGCTTGAATGGCGAGCTGCAAGTTCGCGCGAGCTTCCATGTTGGAGTCGCCGGTGGTCTTGCCCCACATTTTGACGGCGTAGCTGGCGAAGGTGTCTTCGGAGGTGGACTCTTGGTCTTTGCCGTCGCCGGACTCGAAGAGGCCTTTTGCCCAGGAGTGGCCGTGGAACCAGTCGAAGGAGCGGTACATGGGGAAGTATTGGTCGTCGACGGGGTTGGCGAAGTCGCGGACGAGGGCGTTGACCCAGGCTTTGTTGTTGCCTTGGGTGAGCCAGGTGGGGTCGAGATGGCCAATGACGGCGGCGGTGTAGACGAAGTAGCCGTAGTGGAAGTGGTGGTCGTTGTAGAGGGTGTTGCCGAAGTCGAGCCCGACGTCGTAAGGTGGCTTGTAGCTGGCGCCGGAGACGAGACCTTTCCAAACGTTATCGTAGACTAGGGGCTCGGGCTGGGTGTTCTTAATAAAGACATCCAAGGCTGCCTTGAGCCTGACGAGTCCAGCTGCTGCGTATTGACTGTTGCCTGTCAGGGAGTTCATGGTCCAGATGATGGAGGCGAACTTGGCACATCCCTTGCCTGAATAGTACATGCTGTTCAATGAAGTCTGAGGGATCATGTCCTGGCTAAGTTCAGCAACACCTACTTGGTTGATGAGTGTAGTAGCCTGTGAGCTAAGGGCAGTCCTCTGGGTGCCTCCAGCGCCGTTGGCGTTCTTCGACCAGGGAGCAAATCCAATCGTGGTGGGAAGATCATTCTCAACCATGGTCATCTTGTCAGCAAGAATGGCCTGAGCAAAGCCCTTGGTGGTGGTGACGAGTGTGATGTTCTTGAGAGCCGCTTGGGTCTGTGAATCAAATGATTCTACGTGATGTGGAAGCGCATACATGAGCAAAGTTTGGCTAGCAATGCCGCCCTTGGTCCAACTGATGGAGTAGCTTCCAGATGCACCATTGACTGATCCGGAAAGGGTAGCGTCAGTGGCGTAAGCACCAGCGCTCTTGTCAAAAACGGTCTCCATGTCTTGGCCTGAAGGGTTTTTGGCGACCTGGATGGTTCCGATGAAGTTTGCCGGACCACTGATCTTGGCAGTGCTGTCCAGAGTGAAGGGAATGGTACCAACGGCACTAGATGATGTAGCATAAAGTAGCCAAGTAGTGCCGTCGTTGAGGCTGACCCTGTACTTGTAGGTTCCTCCATTGACTGATCCAACATATGACAGAGATTTGAAGAACACATTGCTGGTGAGGACTGGTCTAGCACCGGCATAGATGGCAGTTGCCATACCCATACCCTGAACCACGGGTACTGACATCAGGATCTTAGATCCGGAGCTAGCTCGCAGATTGGCATTTGCGGAGAAACTGCCGAGGTCCTGAACGGAAAGCTTTGTATCCGACTGAAGTTCAGCTGCAGAAAGAACAATGTGCTGGATACCAAGTGGCGATATAAAGTATCGTGGGTTTTCAACGGAGGGTCCAAAAGCAAATTGGTTCCTAACCGTGTGACTGACAGCAATGCCTTGAAGAGTCAAAATTAGCAATCTTTCAAGCCAAGAAGTAATCATTCGACATACCGTAAGAGCCACCAAAACCTTTGGCCCAGCATAGAGAGTAGGGGTGTGTCCACACTGGGAACGATTGAGTACCGAGGAAGAAGTTTGCGTGAAACTTGTTCGTCTGAGTTGGTACATCACCATCCTCGATAAACTGTTTGCGAACAGGATGGTCGTTGCGAGAAGGGATGTATGAAGGAGGTGCTGCATTTCCAATGGGCTGGAAAATATCACCTGAAGAAATCCTGTTTACTGACGTAGGACCAGGCTTTAGTGAGGCTGAGCTTGGAGACAAAGGCTTAGTGGCGGTTGAGGCGCCTGGCCCATGAAGCGGGTCTCTTGTAAAGCCGCCTGAAGGAAGGCCTGTTATAAAGCTCTGTGGAGTGTCAGTTAACACGTCTTGGTGAAACATGCTAGATGGAGTCATACCCCAGTGGCTGATGAATCGACAGTGGCGGTGGGTGATTGCACCGTTTTGATGGCTGAACTGTAGCTTGTAGTCACAGGAATATCGGACAAATCGATCTGACGAGCTTGGAGGACATCTTGGGTTCTTTTCGCATCCCTGAGGGGAATACTGTGACCCGAAGAGACTAGGTAGGCCGAAGCCAACAAGAAAGAAGTCAACTTCGCCATAGTGGCTGGTGAAGAGACGTATGTGAAAACAGGGGAATAACCAAACAAGACTGGCTTGAAGAAGAATCTGAAGTAGATGGTTGATCCTGTAAACCCCCTGGGTTCTGCTTTGCTCGATGGAGTTCATATTGCAGAGCAAAGGGTCGTTATATAACATTGGGAGCTCTGGTAATACCACCTCGACTCTACCCCCTTGTCGCGTGCTCGCCCGGTGAGAATTCCTACTTCAGGAAGGTCACGATTCGCAACTGAGACATGGAGCTCAGGTGTAAAGAATTTTGGACCAACAAACAACTAGTTTACCCCATATAGTCTTGATTTCACCCGTGCGTACGTCTTCGCTGTCGGTACATAAGGCCTCTGACTGCTCTAGCATTTAGTGTACCAGTGTTCTAACATCCTTCAATTTCGAGTGCGTAAGCGCGCAGTTTCTTCACGGTCCGAAGGGATGCCCTTCACTGAATGCCTTTGTTACTCACTGTCCCTCCAGAGCGGTGTGTTTCAACCTCGAGATTATGGGCGTTTGCGTCGTGTCTATATTCTTTCAACATTGCATGCGATGGAAAGTTAACTCAGTGAACAGATTCGGAGGGCTCGCAGTCATGAAGGCGCATCTTTGACTAAACACAGTTCCTTGCAGATCGGTGGCAGATTCCCATGACCACACGACATGCTGCGAGACCGACTCACCGCTCTAGTAGCAAACATGAAAAGCGGTTTTGCAAACCAACTAGCGTCCAGGTAAGATCGTCTCGGATGGCTGGAGGCGGGCGCAACGTGCGGAAGTTACGCTAAGCAAAGCAGATTTTCAGGGTCCTAACGGGAACGTCGTCGGTATGTGCCATATGACCACCGTCTTTGGCTTGGCCACTGTGGAGTTGGGCAGCATTCCCCGCCCCCTTATATCCCGAAAACAAAGATATACCGAAGGGGGTTCTCATAAACTCTCGAGGCAGAATGTATTCCCGTTGGATTACGAAAGCGCCATTGATTCCATCTTTTTTTCATACCGAGGAATAGATAACCGAGAGCGACGGCCCGAACATGATGCCTGATCGTGAAATCGAGAGATCAACAACAAGCCTGGGTAGTAAGATGCTTGGCTAGCCGATGCTCATGATGTTACTCTGCCGTCAAAATTGAAAAGCCATGACTTGACGGTGCAGCCACCATGGTCTAAGGACCCGGGAAGCGTTGGAGTGCGCCATGCTAGACTGTCAAAACGACCGCTAGGGTTGCCGTTTAGGATCTCGTGATATGAACGGCGCACGCGCTTTTTGACTTTGTGGAGACTCTGCGGGGAAAACTGAAGTGTGACGAGCGCACATGGCGGAGAGGTGGAGAGTTGGTGGAGAGTCAGTGCTGAGATGGACTTCTTACTCCAGCGTTTGACATCCTCTCGTCGGCGTCGTGCATGGAGTGTGGATTCCATGAGAAATTAGTGGGTATTACGCGCATGGATGTTCCTTCTAGAAAGAATCGTGTCTGGTGACAGGAGCGGTGAGGTCACATGTCGTGAGGAAAGTGGCGAGGATCACATGGAGTGTAGCTTCGGATTTTGGTACTGGTACAATTTTAACTCCGACAACTCATAGCCACAGATGACATCATTTTGCTCTCGCCACTTCTGTGTGGCACAAACGATGCGATCACCATCACATACCTACGTACCTGTGCCTGAATCAAGTTACAAGTTTAAGTTTACCGCAGTGATTGATATATCCAATTTCTCATTATAGACCTATCTACACCTAAGACATCCCAGCACTCTTTACAAACATCATGGCAACCTCGCAACATCCAAACGAGCCCCCTCCCAGCTACGAAGCTGCCATCTTCGACGCAGACCCTTCGCCTGGCATTCGTCGCGTTTCTACAGACGGTCCAGCAGCGCGAACCGAGCGTAATGGCATTCCGCCCAACAGAAGGCGCTCTATGGAGGACTTGATGCGCGAGCTACCTCCTGGCTGGATCCGATCATTTGACGAACAGACTCAGCATCAATTCTTCGTAGACACACGAGCAAACCCTCCACGAAGCATATGGACGCACCCGTATGATGATGAAGAATATCTCAGCACACTCAGTCCAGAAGAGCGCAAAAAGCACACTCGCATGCACAAGACAATGACAATGGAGGATCTTGCTGCCGAAGACTCGGATACTGAGGATCACCTCCCGCCACAGCCTACATCCAAGGGTAAAGGCGCCGCTGCGCCTGGCGAACCAACAGGCATTCACAAGTTCTCCAGGAAGCTCAAGGACAAGATAACCGGTCAGACGCATGAGGAGCGCGAAAAAGCGCGTCAACGTCGCGCAGAGGAGGAGCGCCAAGCATATCTTCAGCATATGCGCACACGACAAGCAATCATTCGTGCCATGGAGACAGGGGAGCCGCAACTGATAGGAAAAGACCGACAGGGCAGGGATGTGTACATTGAGCCACCTCAAGGGCGCTTCGCACCAAGTGGAGCGTATGGATACAACCCATATGGTCCACGTCAGTACTACAATCCTGGTGTGCGATACATGCGCCCAGCTACGCCTTACGGTAGGCCATATGGCTACGGCTACGGAGGCGGTGCTGGACTCCCTCTTGCGGCTGGACTTTTGGGCGGTACTTTGCTGAGCACTGCATTGTTCTAGTTGACATAGGCTCTGATAAGAGACCTACAGTTGAGGCGAGGGCGAGGGCGCATCAGTCGGCGGTTGATTCGACAAAAGCAAAGCTGATGATGAAGCCTTTTTTTCCTTTTATCAACCCTGTATTCTAAGATTCCCCTGTAGTAATACCCTACCAAAACAAGATTACTATCATGCAGCTGTTGGTTGGGCCATTACGTGTACTTGCCTGATTATGCCCACTGACGGCATTTTTTAAAAGCAACTCTGTTTTGAGGCTGGATGTTGCATGTGAGCCAGGATCCCATATTCATCAGCCCCAGCGATGTTAGCGTGGGCTTTGAAGTGTGGGGTGAACGCGCTTCGGCCTGATTGGGTTATAGAGAGATTAAGAGACTGTAGTGGCCCCCCCATCTACAAAGTTCAGATTGGATATTGGGCGGCAAGAAAACTTGAGCCGCATGACGGCTATGATTATTGAAGTTTCTCCTTTGCCTAGGATTGGCAGCATGTAAATAGGCGTACGCGGAGTGGAGTGGGGAGGCCGGGGTACTACCAGCAATCGGAATGTTTGTGATACTGGTGGCCAGACCTTATTTCGTATACGAAACGCCGAATCCAGATTTGGAACATCGTGGAGATTTTTGCTGCTGTCAGATCCCCACGTAGTTGGTCAGCGGCCGAAAGCTGACATGTTGCGTTCAGTAATGTTGGGCGAAAGATAGCCAGGTTGCTGAGGCGCTTCGATTTCGTAAAACGAGCGTGGAGTGTTCCTTGTAGAGCCCCCATGCCCGTAGAAGAGTAAGACAAGAGGAATGGAGGAGATAACAGACTGCTGGTATCGCCGTGCTACAAACCGGGATTGGAGATTGGGAGTGGCGAGTTTCACAAGGAATATTGCTGGAAAGGGCACATGCCATTTGAAGGGCAAACTAATGGCTGGTGGATTGAAAGCAGTTCAGACACGAAGCTATCTGTATAAGACCTGTCATTGGCCCGAGGGTCAGCAAAGTCAGCTGAGAACAGTAGTAAGAGAAATGATAGGGTAGCCCGGTGCGCCAATGATGCGATCCAAGGCTACTCTAAACCCACAGTCAGGGCTCCGAAGCCGGAAGTACAGCCATTGGGCTAGCGGCGGGTTCTGGAATCTTTCGAAAACGTCCTCTATCTGCACCCGCCCTAATCTACGCCACCCCGTCATCAATAAAAGTTGGACACGTCCGTGCCTATAGACAACAAACACCAAAATTAACGTCGCAACTTCTAAGGTATATGTCAGTACAACTGACCAATTTTGAAATAATTTTTTAATATATATATATATAGTAGTACTATAGCAGTTTCTGCTAAAAAGAAAAGGGCTAATAATATGAAGAAAAAACTACTCTTAATGCTGTTCTGTAGTGTACCCCAAAGTAGCGCTATTGTTTAGCGAGCGTGCCCGATGTTTATTGATGAGGGGGTGCTTCTTTACCCCCGCTTCCAGGATACGTAGCATGCGGGGCTCGGGCAGCTGCGTCATGTAAGTACACGCTGATATCAAAAGTGGCTGATACGAGTGCTACCCAGTTTTTACTCGGGCGGGCTTCGGAGTCCGCAAATACTTCCTATTATAGCGCAGATGGCGATATATTACTAAAATCCGGTCCGTCATTGGCTGACGGATTGATCACGATCCACCAAGAAGGAATATTACACCTGTTAGCACCGCCACATACGAAACGCTATCGATATTAGCGTGTAAACAAGAGTCCTGCCCTGCACCCTCGACAAGCCTTCACCATGGACGCCAACATCACAAAAGCACTCAACGACAAGCTCTACGATAGGCGCAAGAGCGGGGCACTCGAGCTCGAGGGCCTCATCCGCGATGCCCTCGCCACCCAGGACCATGACAGGATAGCAAAGATCGTACATCAGCTGTGCCATGAGTATGCCTATGCCGTCCACCAGCCTCACGCTCGCAATGGTGGTCTCATAGGACTGGCCGCTGCCTCGATAGCCTTGGGGCCCGAAGTCGCCCGCTACCTCGAGGAAATCGTGCCTCCGGTGCTTGCCTGCTTCAGCGATCAAGATGCCCGTGTACGGTACTACGCGTGCGAGAGCATGTACAACATTGCAAAGGTCGCAAAGGGCGAGATACTCGTCTACTTTAACCAAGTCTTTGATGCTCTCTGCAAGGTGTGCGTCCCTTTGTTTGCATCTCGAGATTGGGCTAACATGTTTGTGTTCAGATGGCCGCAGACTCGGAGTTGTCTGTCAAAAATGGCGCAGAGCTCCTGGACCGCTTGATCAAAGACATTGTCTCAGAGTCCGCTGCCAGCTATGTCTCCGTGCTGCAGACTACGCCAGAGCAGCATGACGGCGAGGACGAGCCATATCCATACGCATTCAGCCTCGAGCGGTTCTTGCCGCTTCTCGAAGAGCGCATAAACGTTATCAACCCCTTCACCCGCTCCTTCCTAGTTGCATGGATAACACTGCTCGACTCCATACCCGACCTCGAGCTGATTGCTCACTTGCCACGCTTCCTTGGTGGCCTCTTCAAGTTCTTGAGCGACTCCAACCAGGATGTATACACTATGACGCAGGCGGCGCTGGACAGACTCCTAAACGAGATCAAGAAAATTGCTAGAATCAAAAAGGGCATAGAGGAAAGCAAGAAGAGCAACAGCAAGGACGAGCGTAGGAACTCTGCCGATAGTATCCGTAGCGGAAGCGATACGTCCGACTTTACACCCCTCGACCCGCATGATTCGATTGACGACAAGGGCGATGCCAGTGGAGAAAGTGGCTCTGTTTCTGGCGAGAGCGAAAAGTCCGCACACGGCGATGGCAACTGGATACCAGGCCAGGATGTGCACGTCGACCATCCCAAAATCCTTGGGATACTCGTTGACTTTCTAGTTCCACCGCCAGGTTGGTTTTGCGCCTGAAACGACAAGCTGAACTGTGCTAACGGGATTGCAGATACAGAAGAGGAGCAGACTGAGATATTGCTTACAGCGCTGCGCTGGATCGACAACTTCTTTGACATTTGCCCAGAAGACATCATGCCGTTTGTCCCAAGCCTTCTGTCGCACGTGTTGCCCCGCATGTCCCATGAGGTTGATACCGTTCGCAAAGCAGCAGTCAAGGTCAATGCTTCGCTTATGGATTACATCTTATCCTTATCTGATGACAATCGTCCACGAGATGGCGGCGCAAGTGGACAGATCCAGTTGCCACCTTCGCTCTCTGAGCTCGGGAAGGAGCTTACTGGTACACAACGGCGAGACTCTAATCTATCTGGCCGTTTACTCAAGGCAGTTATCCGTGACCAGGCAAACAAGGCCGAGTCACCTGACGGCAGGTCCCCTACGCCCGCAGAGGACAGTGGTTCGTCTCCTCGCCCAATACCAGAGTTGGATTACCAAGCCGCAGTCAGTGCTTTAACACTGCAATTTTTGAACGAACATGAAGCTACTCGTGTTGCTGCTATCGCGTGGCTAATCATGCTACATAGGATGGCACCCGGCAGAGTGAGTAGACATGCAGTACGACCTATACGGCGCTAACTAGTATGCAGATACTAACAGTGGACGACGGAACCTTTCCAGCACTGCTTAAGACACTATCTGACCCTTCCGATGCGGTTGTTACACGCGACCTACTACTCCTCTCTCAGATATCTCTGCATAGCGACGATACATACTTCACCTCGTTCATGGTCAACTTGCTGAAGCTGTTCTGCACTGACCGCAGGCTGCTCGAGACGCGTGGTAACCTTATTATTAGACAGCTATGTCTCACTCTCAGTGCGGAAAGGATCTATCGTACCATGGCGGACTGCCTAGCAAAAGACGAAGATGTCGAGTTTGCAAGCATCATGGTGCAAAACCTCAACAACAACCTTATCACTGCGCCAGAGCTCGCAGATCTGCGGAGGCGACTAAGGAACCTCGACAGCAAGGACGGCCAATCCTTTTTTGTCACTCTTTTCAAGGCTTGGTGTCACAACGCCGTGGCTACCTTCTCACTGTGTCTCCTCGCTCAAGCCTACGAACAGGCATACCATTTACTACAAGTCTTGTACGTGATTCACTCGCATTCATACAGATACAGAGATTGACCCTTGTAGTGCTGAACTTGAGATGACTGTCAACATGCTCATCCAGATTGACAAGCTTGTCCAACTCCTCGAGTCTCCGGTCTTCACATGTAATACTTCTTGACGTGACATGTGTACAGAATCGCTAATGAAGTTACAGATCTCCGCATGCAGCTCCTCGAACCTGAACGGTATCCGCACTTGTACAAGTGCATGTACGGCCTACTGATGCTACTTCCCCAATCCTCTGCTTTTGCTGCGCTTAAGAATCGCCTCAACAGCGTCTCGGCCATAGGCTACCTGCATATCGCGCCTCAGCGCAGCAGCTCGACGTATGTGCACCCCTCCTCTTCCCCTACTTTAAACCACTTGCGGCAAAAAAGCTCAGAAGCCGGCGCGAACAGTAGTAGCGGTAGTGGCATTGCCTCGCCTGGAGGAGCCAACATATCCAACTTCGAACGGTCTGGCCGATTGAAGCCAAGAGACGTGCTGGGTGGCCCGGAAGCGGGTGCAACGGTCAAGTGGACCGAGTTGCTAGAGCGATTCAAGCAGACACAGGAAAAGGCAAGGCGCAGTCAAAGAATGGCCAGCATGGGCGAAGAAGAGGAGGTCTACGAGAAAATGGGCCCGACAGTACCGACTCCGTCTGCGCCACCAAAGAGTGTTGCCGGGCTTAGGCCAGGAAGTCCTGCAGGCGCAATGAGACCGCCTCCAGCGCCTGCACCGCCGGGTCCTCTACCAGGACACAAGCCACGGTCTAGCCTGAGCAACCTGGGAAGGTTTGCTGGGGGAGTGGCGGGGAGAAGAAAGGACAAGAAATAGGTAGTTGGGGATGTGCATGGGCTGGTTTATTATTGATGAGTTTTTAGCGGGCGCGAGTGATTACGAGATGCATTGTTGGCGTCTGTTTGGAGCAAATTTGTTTACGGTGGTAGAATTGCACAAAGCGCGATACGTAGAGATAACCACCATCCCACCTTTCCGTGACGCCGATATAGGAGACAGCGATAATCAATGCAACGGGGAGAGTCGGGTGCGAGCCGCCGGTAGTGCCGCAGTACCAAGCCCCAAGTTGAGCTTTCCCCACGCTTTGTGAACCTGAGGCATCGCCGCCGTGGCGGGCTCGTGGAGAGGTCGACACGGCCCCACTCTCTTGCTTCTAGCGAGACTCTGATGCTTTCACGACAGTTTACCGACAAGAGCTGCCGAATGGGTACGGCAGCTGAAAGAAAGACTGGTCCGCAGTCGGACCCTGCTGTGGGCGTGCATACATACCATGTAGGTACAATATATGTAAGCATGTATGCCGCGTGGTAGCCAGAGTTGGTGTGCGAAAGTATACGACGAGGGCTTTCAGCTGCTCATGGCAATTTTTTGTAGTGTTGCTGACTGTTCAAGATTGTGAGAGGGAATCATGGGATACTTATGTAATTGCTTGTGCAAAGGCGCGCCACTGCCGGCCAGGACATATGACAGGCGTTCCTGGGAAGATCGGTGTAAGCCACCCATTAGGCTCTCTTCCTGAGGCGGCGAGAGAACCGGCTCACTGGAACCAAGAATGGCAACAACCTGGATGACCGAATGGCGGGATTTGTACATTACACTACATATGTACTGTCCATGCAGCCCATGCAGTAGGAGATGAAAAACTGTCCGTCTGGTACGACGGTGAGCGCGGTCGTGTCTGGTACCAGCGACACAGGACCGTCTCCGTGCTCAACGGCAGGCGATTTGCTGACATTTCGGTCATCCGGCAGGGCGTGCGTGCACGGCGTAGCGCCAAAAATGGCTGCCGAATATTCACAGGCTGGGTTTCATGAAGGTTTGTTGGGCGCCGGCGACTTGGGCAACTACGGGCAGGAAACCATGTCGAAGCTGTGCTATTACCGGCAGCGTCTCAAACGAGGCATCCTCGGGCTTATCGCATCGACGGACGAGTGGCATCACCACTCACACTCTTTCGTGGTCAGGGACGGCGAGGGCGTTTGTGGGCGTCGTTGACATGATGGCGTCGCAGGGGACGGCCGGGTTCAGGCAGGCGTCCGAATCGGGCTAGCCGCATATCGCTCCGATGCAGGCCGTGATTGGCCGCCGTTGGATGCTTATCTCTGGCATGAAATGCAATTGACACAACGCAACATGGAGCCTCCCACTCGCCAAGCACTCCCGCCCCCAGGATATGGCGGACAATGCCTCCCGTGGCTGCGAGAAATCATTCTGAGTCGCCGACAAAGAGCCCACGGTGCGAGGCTGTCCTTCCCAGCTCCCGCAATGCTGCCGCTAGGTGGGTGTTGGTCTCATTATCTAACCCGCCCCGTCACGCTTCCGCTCGCGGCGAGATAAGGCCAAACGCCTACCATGACGCAGTTCGACATCGACCGGCAAAAAAAGCGATCAAGCTCTGGATCTGGCGCGAACCCCACGGCGGTCGCGCGCCTGTGGGTTGATGTACCCTCGTCTATTTTGCCTCGAGTGCTGGTCCGTGGACCAGGATAGATAAGAGTAGCACAGTCAGCCCTTCATCCATAAAGGCCCCGGCGCAACCATTGTAATCTACAGTAGGGTTTCCGCTTTCTCCCTGGTGCTCCCGTATATTACTGGTACCGGTCCAGCTTTTATATCCTCTGTTCATTTCCTCTCCATACGCCTTGTTTGTGAGACAGCTCTTCCCTCTCCGCCTACCTCTCCAAGGCCCACACCCCCTTGATAACCTTACCACTTGGGCGGTTTCCCAGCAAATTCCGCAGCCATGTCGCACTCATGGATCGGTGCTCCCGCCCAATTCAATGGGACCGATGCCGTTACTGGTGGTGATTCTGGTAAGTTCAAGTCTCCATGTACCACCATTAAGCACGTGCCGCGCCCGACACCCGTGTTGCGCGCAGCACATTGTGCAATCAAGGTCATAACACATACCCGCAAGCATACTAATATGCGTATTCGTAGTCACCGAGAATCTCAACCAATGGTACCAGGCGGGTGACCAGGCCTACATCCTCGTGGCTTCGGCCATGGTGTTGATCATGGTTCCTGGTCTAGCTTTCCTCTACTCCGGTCTTGCTCGCAGAAAGTCCGCCCTCTCCCTCATCTGGGCGTGCATGTTCTCCGCCTCCGTCATCACCTTCCAATGGTACTTTTGGGGATACTCGCTCGCGTTCGGCCCCTCTAAAAATGGCTTCATCGGCAACCTCGACAAGTTTGGTCTCAAGGGCGTACTCGGTGCCCCTAGCCAGGGTAGTCCTCTGATTCCTGAGTTGCTGTACTCTTTCTACCAGGTACGGCAGATCTCATCATACCTCACAAGAGATATGCTAACCGCGCTCTCATAGCTACAATTTTGCGCCGTCACTGCTGCTATTGTTGTCGGTTGCGTTGCCGAGCGCGGTCGCTTGATCCCCATGATGGTCTTCATCTGGCTTTGGGCCACAATCGTATACTGCCCCGTCGCTTACTGGGCCTGGAACGCAAACGGCTGGTTCTTCAAATGGGGTGGCCTCGACTATGCTGGTGGCGGTCCTGTCGAGATCGTGTCTGGATGCACCGCCTTGGCCTACTCCATGATTCTCGGACGCCGCCAGGAAAAGATGATGCTTAACTTCCGCCCCCATAACGTCTCTTTGATCACTCTCGGAACCGTGTTCCTCTGGTTTGGTTGGTTGGGCTTCAACGGCGGCTCTGCTTTCGGTGCCAATCTCCGCGCTGTCATGGCCTGCTGGAACAGCAACCTTACTGCCATGTTTGCTGCCATGACCTGGGTTATTCTTGATTGGCGTCTTGCTCGCAAGTGGTCCATGGTCGGCTGGTGCTCAGGCACCATTTCTGGACTTGTTGCTGCTACTCCCGCCTCTGGTTTCATCCCTCCATGGGCCAGCGTTGTCCTCGGTATTACCACTGGCATCGTCGCTAACTTTGCCACCAAGAGTAAGTTGAACCCTAAACGTCAATTTTACGTCATTTTCTCACATACCTCTAGTCAAGTTCTGGATCAAGATCGACGATTCTCTCGATGTATTCGCTGAGCACGGCGTCGCCGGCATGTGGGGACTGTTCTTCAACGGCATTTTTGGCGCCAACTACATCATTGGTCTTGACGGTGTCAACAACGGACTGACCGCTGGTGCCATTACCGGTGACGCGCCCGCTGTCTACAAGCAAATTGCTTATATCGCCGCTTGCACTGGTTACTCCTTCGTCGTCAGCGCTATCCTCGCTTTTGTCATCGACAAGATTCCTGGTCTGAAGCTTCGCGCGTCCGAAGAGGCCGAGCTTCTTGGTATGGATGACGACCAACTTGGCGAGTTCGCCTACGACTACGTCGAGGTCCGCCGTGACTACCTTGCGTGGACCCCTGCCAAGGGTGCTCCCCTCGATGGCGAGCACTCGGTGCCTCAAGGAGAACGCCACGGTATTCCCCAGCACAGCCAGATGCTTGAGGGAAAGGCGCCGTCGGAGAATTCCAGCCATGACCACGACCATACTGGCATTGGTGGTGATAGGCATGCTGTTGCCATGGGTTCCGAGCACAACAATGAAAAGCAGGTTAAGACCTAAGCTTTTGTATTTGTATCGATCTGCATTTTGTTGCTTTCGACTTTATAGAGTCAAATTGTTTCGAGATACCACCTGCGCTCTGGTTTTTGCGCTGAGCTTTTTGTTCTATTTTTCTAGATGCCTGAACTATTCTTTTCTCTTACAAATGTAGTGTACATAATTCAAGAACGAGCTCATCATTAACTCTCCAAATCGGCCCTTTCCCCCCTTGTTTTTGTCAGACCGCTGATGCATGCTGCTTTGACTAATTTCCCTGCTGAATTGTACGTACGAGGAGGCTGTGCTCACCTCACATCCCATGCCCAGCAACCTTATCAGACCAAGAACAACAGAACTCCCGATTCGTCCGGCCAACGATATATCTTCCGCTGCCAAGCCTACTCGTAGAGTCAATGCTTATCTTCTCCTACTCCTCCACATGGATGATCGCCCACGCCTAGACCCTATCATGTCGCTGTACCCCAGATCCCGCCGTGCGGATGATGTCAATCTACCGCGATAAGCTTGCGGCTAAGCACAATACCTAGTGCTAGACATCGAATCCTCTCAAAGCACGATGGTTGCTAGTTCATATGCACAGATACACATACTTACAGTAGTATACACACCATACCAATAGCCATATCACGATCTCCTTGTCGTGCCAAGAAAGTATCATTGCATGCTGCATGCGCTTCACCTGCCGTCGGGATTGTGCTTACTGTTCCTATACGCGCGTCTTTGCTCTCATGCATCTTTTCTTTTAACCTCCACCCAAAAGGCCAGTCATAGCGCTCCATTAACGTTTACTACTAGGTAATCAAAGCGGAGTCGTGGATTTTCACAAAAAGTACATATTCCGTGCATCCCGCAGTCGCTCCATTTTAGGACCCTGTCTCCAAAGCGTGTGCATGGGCTGGTATGCGTCAGTACTATAAGAGCGCATGCAGGGTGGGATGGAGAGTGGGAGGGAATTTCATTGATTCCCCAAGCAGGAATGGCTTTCGTGTCCTCCAAGACAATATCGGGGCTATGAAACATGTTCTCGGTGAGAAATGTCTTGGGTGCGTTCCACGCGTTCGGGAATGCATGTGGGGCGAACTTAGTACGAGTCGTTGTCGTTGTTATTGTTAAGGAGCACGTGACAATGGGAGTGCACCCTATGGCGTTGCAGCCCGCCATAGCCCTTCCGCAACACTCCATCTTTAGCCAGGTAATCACGTCACCGAACCCAGATGTGGCGAAACCCTAGACATGTGTTGCCTCAAGTTGGATGAAAACATACACCCATGCAACAAATATAAGCGAGTTTGCGTGCCAGCGCAGATGTAAGGTTTGTTCAGTGCTCCTAACCGCCTAGATAGGGAAATCGCGCCGGCTCGCAATACAAAACCGCTTGGCTGATAGCGTGATCTCAACCCAGAATAGAAACATTGTACCCGATGATACATACAAGTACTCCTAGGCAGAAATAAACTCAGGCCACTAGAGTGGGTGTTGCGTGTTTGTGCGCCTTCTAGACAAAGCACATGTGTGTTCGAAAATGATGCAGCTGATGCTCGAATGGCTTCCCTTGACAAAGAACTGCTGTTGCACCACCGGAACATGGTTTTACTTCATGTCAACAAAGATTTGTTATCGAGTCCGTCTTTATCCACTATCCAGTTGCCGTCTCTCTATTTCTTTGCAGGAGAACAATCGTCTTGAAACCTGTGACAGGATGTGATCGGCGGATTGGTTTTAGAAGAGATACGCTCTCCCTAACAGCAAGAAACAAAAATATCTGTCAGTTCGCATCTTTTGTAACCTCTCCCTGAAAAGCACACCGTAATTGCGATTGCCCTCACTTTTGAAGTTTCTTTCTTGTCTTCGCAGTGTAGCAAGGCACACTTCGAGGGACAAGCAGTTGCTTTTGTCAAAGGCCCGACTCACCATATCAAACTTCAAGATGAGAAGCTCTCTAAGAATATCTCCGGCGCCTTTTAAATCTTCATTCTTGTCGATCCCACCATCGCCCTTCTCACCACGTCCACCCTTTACACCCACGATACCATTCCCACAATCAGTTCAGAAAGAGGGCCAGCAAAGCTCAAAAACGAGCACGAAGTCTACGGCAGATTTACCACCGACTCCTTTACCTTGGACGTGGACATGTCACCAGTGTCATTGTAGTTACCGCTTGAATGTCACAAGGCGTTGCCTACAAGACGGACATTATTATTGTAGCGGCACAACCACTGTAAAAGCATGGCGACAATCAACTTATGTACGACGTGCAAGGAAACAAGGTGCTTGTAATAGCGAATTTGACTATTCTGGCTGGAAGAACTGGAGCAGATGGCGAAGAGATGGTCCCAGGAACAAAGATGCTGCAAGCACAGCCTCGCCCGCGGGCAAAGAAGATGGAGATGTTGCGACCAAGGAAAAAGACTGTTGGAATACGTGTGACTACCCATCCGAATGCAAATGGGGAAAGAAATTCGGCATACACACACCTGTAGAAAGCGGTTTCCCGGTTGTTGAAGCTGACGCCAAATCAGCACTCAATTCTCCTGCTAGCACGACCCTAAAAGGCACCCACGGGACTGAAAACTACGAGGATGTCAGAACGCTAAGGAAGAATGGAACTTTGAGTCTTTGGACTGCTCTGGTAGCGAGTGTAGAGAGGAGGAAGAATGGTAGTGGGCGTATTGCTTCACCACTCTCTATTGTCACACAAGGAGAGATGGCAAGGAGAAGAGCTGGCAAGAACACTTCATCACCCCAAGAAGATAGAAGCGATGTCATTATAGCTGCCACGGAATTGTCAGTTCTGGGCACTGCAAGTGATTCAGCTCTATCGGATAGCTCTGATTCTTCGACAGCTGGGGGCTCTCTCAAACCCTTGTTGAGCAGGAGGAGGTATCGTCGCACGACCTCTTCTCCCAAGACACCCGCTAATAGCGATGCGAAGCGTGTGAAAGTGGCCTGCACATTAACATCAGATACACATGGTATTGTGGGCGATTTAGAGGTATCAGATAGCGATTTTCCGCCGTTGACGAGAGTGCAGAGTAGATATAGTGGGTATCAGACCTGCTACGTATGAGGCCGCTCATGCTCTGTTTGGCCATGCACTGGTGTATTCTCCTAGATAGCTTTACTAAGTCCAATATTAATGTAATATAGTATTACCCCAAATCTGCAAAAAAGCGGGAGCCAATATCAACTCCACAGCGTGATATATGCGGCTAAAAGTGGACTTGTGCCCGCCGCCCGCCGAGGAGGTGATGCAGGGATCCGTTGCTAGCGCATGGACCATGGACATTTACGGAGTCCTGATCCCTCTGAGCCGCGGTCCCTGTCACACCTCTTTCAGCGCGCCGAGCCTATTGTTCAAAGGCACATTGCGAATATGGTGCTTTCATTCATCCTCATACAGAATCGGCAGTATGTTTGCAGTCGTGCTACCCGATGTCTGTTTTGGTGCTAACAGGCGGAACTGCATAGGGGAAAGACACGGCTGGCCAAGTGGTATGCGCCGTATAGTGTGAGTTGCATTACAAAGCATGTAGGGAAGAGAAGGCATTTGCTAACAAACTCCTAGGATGATGAAAAAGTCAAGCTGAAAGGCGAGGTATGCAACAATTCCACCATCGTCCATGTAGTCTCGCACTTCCCCCTTCGACCGCTTCTTCACAAGACGTCCGTCTTACACGACACCTCGAATACCGATCGTATATACAAAAGACTTTTGAAGTAGCTCATAATTATGGCAGGTACATCGCCTGATTGCACCGCGAGACCAAAAACACCAGTCCAACTTTGTCGAGTTCCGCAACATGTCCAAGATTGTGTACCGTCGATATGCCGGCCTCTTCTTCTGCGCGTGCGTCGATACAAACGATAATGAGCTGGCGTACCTCGAGGCTATACATTTCTTCGTCGAGGTGCTAGATGCCTTCTTTGGGAATGTGTGTGAGCTGGACTTGGTATTCAACTTTTACAAGGTACGTGTCGGTACAACAAGCTGCGGAGGGATGATGTTGGGAAGCATTGTTCAATGGCGATAAGGCAATGTTAATAGGCAGGCGAAAGTCAAACGACTGACAATGATTGTAGGTCTATGCGATCCTCGACGAGGTGTTCCTTGCGGGCGAGATTGAAGAGACGAGTAAACAGGTCGTATTGACGCGGCTGGCGCATCTTGATAAGTTGGAATAAAGGACAAGATATGAGGAATTCGGCACATCTTTTTCTTCGCTTGAACCGGAATTGTGACGGTTGTCAGAGCTGGGGTTGTGGAAAGCCAGACAGGATCACGAAGAAGAGTGGCAGCATTTGTGGATGCCGAGGGTCCATAGCCATGGTGCAAGAAGACAATACGCCTGGCCTGGCTCCTGCGGATAATGAAGCGTGACGCAATCGCATGGGACGATGCTTTTTGGCAAACTTAAATGCGTGGTGGCTTGAGGGTTCCCGCATACCCTTAGAATAATATCACGTCACTCGATTGGAGCACTAGGTATCGCTTCTCCTGGGGTAATTAATTAAATCGACTGCATGGGTAACACGCGACTGTCAGGTTGTACCTTGGTCTTGCATGTGAGGAAGCGCGCACGGACGTAATTGTATGGAAAGCATAGGGCCAGAAAATAGACAGATCATCAATCTTGATTCCCGATATCTGTCCCTTCGTCCGCGCCGAATTCCTAGAGAATGCTCGCCCCGTGATATATCGCTAATAGTGCTCCGTGTCCTGTTGCCCCCCCCCCCCCCCGGCCACACGCTTAATCCGCCTCGAACCATCTCGTTTGTCGACTCGAGTGTAGCATCCCCGCGCTATCGCGACCATGTCCGGATACCCTATGCATCAGGCTCCTGGTGCGAGCTATCCCAACCCGAACGATGCGGACATGCAGGACGAACAGAACAAATGGCGACCACCAGTTGGGGCGGGCCCTCCTGGCTACTCTCAGGCCGGAAGCCCAGCGATTCCTCAAGCACCGAATCAATACGCAGGCGCGTCCGCGCAGTACGGCACGCCGGTCCAGCAGGAGTCATATTTTCCGCACCAGCAGGCACCGCAGGCCTATCCACAGTACCAGGGCGACGAAGATGTCAATAACTTGGCGGGGCAGATGGGCGCAGTTGGGTTAGGCGGGGATCAAGTGGCACAGCCAAAGCCTAAGAAGAAGAACAGACATGCATACCACAATATCGAGGGCCCTGGAGGAAGCCAACAGGCTTTCAATGGCATGTCTCCCAATGGTACACCCGCTCAGTTCAATAACCAGAACTCTCCTCAAGTTGGTGGAGCGCAATGGATCGAACCTCAGGTCACCCCCGCTATGAGCCAGTTTCCCGCACCAGCGAACCCAGTCTTCAGTCCTGGCGCTCAGGCATCTCCCATGCAGTATGCTGCGCGGACAGCGGCATCGCCGCATCAATCAGGTGGAGCGGCCGTAGGATCAGCACAGGGACGTGTGGACCCCGAACAGATACCCAGTGTGCCGAAGTCGCGAGATGCGCCGGCCAAATACTACCTGGAACACGTATATCCTACGATGGAGCACCACCTACCACCCCCAGCTACTGTTCCATTTGTGTCTTTTGACCAGGGCAATTCCTCGCCCAAGTACGCACGCTTGACGCTGAACAGTATCCCACTCACTGCACAGGCACTTGCTGCAACTTCTTTACCACTAGGCATGATCTTGCAACCACTGGCTGCTCAGCAGGAAGGTGAACAGCCAATCCCGGTACTAGATTTTGGCGAGACGGGACCACCGAGATGTACAAGGTGTCGAGCTTACATGAATCCGTTTGTGCAATTCAAATCCGGTGGTAACAAGTTTGTGTGCAATCTTTGCAGCTACCCCAACGATGTCCCTGGGGAGTACTTTTCACCTACAGATATGGCTGGCGTGCGAATAGACCGGTTGCAACGACCTGAACTTACCCTCGGTACGGTCGACTTTATGGTACCAAAGGAATACTGGTCCAAGGAGCCTGTCGGTTTACGATGGCTGTTCTTGATTGACGTCACTTCTGAGGCTGTGAACCGCGGCTTCTTGTATGGTTTCTGTGAGGGGATCTTGAGTGCTCTATATGGTGAATCAAGAGGCGAGGCAGAAGGGACAGAAGCTACGAGCCGGATACCGAAGGGTGCGAAGGTCGGCATTGTGACCTTTGACAGAGAGATGCACTTCTACAACCTCAGCCCCAACTTGACCAGTGCTCAGATGCTGGTCATGTCAGATCTTGAGGACCCCTTTCTACCATTCAGCGAAGGCTTGTTCGTCGATCCTGTCGAGTCAAAGGGCGTCATCACCTCGCTTCTTACGAATTTACCAAACATGTTCGCTGAAGTCCATCGTCCTGAACCGGCTCTCCTTCCTACTTTGAACTCTGCGCTGCAGGCACTAACAGCAACGGGCGGAAAGATAGTGTGCTCTCTAGCCGCACTGCCTACTTGGGGTCCTGGCCGACTTGTACTTCGCGAAGATGGCAACCAGCTCGGCACCGACGCTGAGAAGAAGCTATTTCAGACTGAGCATCCTGGTTTCAAAAAGCTTGCCGAGAAGATGGTACAGAATGGTATTGGCGTCGACTTTTTCCTTGCTGCGCCTAGTGGAGGATACTTGGATATTGCAACAATAGGTGGGTGATATTATTATCCGCTCGTAACTGCTACTAATCTTCGTCGTAGGGCATGTATCTGCTGCAACAGGCGGAGAAGTCTTCTATTATCCAAACTTCCATTCGCCTAGGGATCTACTCAGACTTTCCAAGGAGGTCCAGCATACGGTCACGCGAGAAACCGGATATCAAGCGCTGATGAAGGTTCGATGCTCGACTGGTCTGCAGGTCTCTGCCTACCACGGCAACTTCTACCACCACACATTCGGGGCTGACTTGGAGTTTGGAGTCATTGATCAAGACAAGGCTATTGGCGTGATGTTTAGCTATGATGGCAAGCTAGATCCTAAGCTCGATGCGCACTTCCAGAGTGCACTCCTATACACAGCCGCAAACGGTGAGCGCCGAGTAAGGTGTAGCAACATCGTGGCCAGTGTCAGTGCAAACACCGGCGAGTGCATGAAGTTTGTCGACCAGGATGCAGTGGTGAATATCATTGCTAAGGAAGCTGCTGCTCGTATGACTGAGAAGAACCTGAAGGAGATCAGGGGAGCTCTGACGGAGAAGACGGTCGACATTCTCTCTGGTTACAGGAAGAATTTTTCGGGCAACAATCCTCCTGGCCAACTCGTACTACCGGAGAACCTCAAGGAATTCAGCATGTACATTCTTGGTTTGATCAAATCACGCGCTTTCAAGGGCGGTAAAGAGCCCACGGACAGGAGGGTCCATGACATGCGGATGCTCAAGTCCATGGGGCCTTTGGAGCTTTCGTTGTATCTTTACCCACGAATCATCGCAATTCACAACCTCGACGCTGGCGATGGCTTTGCGAACGAAAAGGGTCATCTGGTCATGCCTGAATGTACACGGGCATCCTTCTCTAAGTTCGAGGAGGGTGGCGCATACATTGTTGATAACGGTCAGATATGTTTGCTATGGCTACACTCGCAAGTCTCGCCCAATTTACTCGAAGACCTCTTTGGTGAAGGCAACAATAGCCTTAAAGTACTGGATCCATTCCAGTCTTCACTACCAGTTCTCGCAACTCATCTCAATGCGCAAGTACGAAACATCCTACAGTACCTAGCCACCACACGCGGCTCCAAAGCTCTTACGGTTCAACTTGCACGACAAGGCCTCGACGGATCAGAGTACGAGTTCGCGAGATTGCTTTACGAGGACCGGAACAATGAGGCGCAAAGCTATGTAGACTGGCTTGTGCATGTTCATAGGCATATACAGTTAGAGGTACTTTGATCGTGCGGTAACTTTGCTGGCCAGTTCCGCTAACTCTTGTACAGCTTGCAGGACAACGACCCAAGAAAGATGATCTAGCTGATGTAGGATCGACTTTTGTCGGGTTGCGAACACCGTACTGGGGCTAAAAGTGTTACTGGGCGTCGATGAGTGTGTATTGCATAGCGAAGGTGGGAGCGCGGCGCATTCGGTTGTTGCGAGATAGGAATATGTAATTTGACAAAATCTTCATCATAATTCTTTCACTCTTATCACGTAGACTCTATGTTGTTTTTGCTTTGATGTTCGCTGTGCTATCTAAAGACCCGTTAACACGTGACCATCGGAGAAACTGGTACACCGTCGTTAGCGCCATCTCGCTTAGGATCTTCCGCCCACTGGACCAAAACAGCCTCAGCGATCGAACTTTCAGTCTCTCGCAACTAACCAAACAGCGACAGTCAACATGCCTACCCGACTGACCAAGACTCGCAAGCACCGCGGCCGTACGTTACACTATACTGCTCCCTCCAAGCGACTCGATTGCCGACCGCATTCTTCTTTCCGGCGGCTCGATCAATGCGATTGCGCTGAAGTCGTCGCCTTGAGAAAGAATAGAGGAAGGAAGACGAGTCGCTGGGATGGAACAGGAATGCCGATGGAAGATTGAAGGCTAACTCTCGTTCAGATGTCTCCGCTGGTCACGGACGTGTCGGAAAGCACAGGAAGCATCCCGGTGGTCGTGGTATGGCCGTAAGTTTTGGCATGTCCTATGTGATCGTGTAATATCACTAACAAGACATCTAGGGTGGTCAACACCACCACCGCACCAACATTGACAAGTACCACCCCGGTTACTTCGGAAAGGTCGGTATGCGTTACTTCCACAAGATGCAGAACCTTTTCTGGAAGCCCGTAATCAGTAAGCTGAGGCCCTGTCGCATATCTACCTTCAAGACCTAACCAGTCGCAGACCTGGACAAGCTCTGGTCGCTCATCCCCGCCGAGAAGCGTGACGAGTACCTCGCCAACAAGGGTGGAAACGCTCCCGTCCTCAACCTCCTCGACTACGGCTACTCCAAGGTCCTCGGCAAGGGCCGTCTCCCTGCCGTCCCCATTGTCGTCCGCGCCCGCTACGTCAGCGCCGAGGCTGAGAAGAAGATCAAGGAGGCTGGTGGTGTCGTCCAGCTCGTCGCATAAGCAGTTACAGCATGATGTACATGATATGGCGTCTCGGATCACACAAAAGGATAGGGTCTTAAGGGTCCACAGTGCCTACGGGCCTGTGTAGACTCGTGTTCAGCGTGGTGGCTGAGGAATGTTTCATAGAAAATATGACCATTCCTGAATCAACCTTTGGATACCCAGCAGCCCCGTGGGGGTGGGCTGTGAGTGTTTGTACGTACTTGGGGCATGTGCCGTGAGTGTTTTGCTTGAAGTGATGCTGTGATGTTGAGCCGAAATGATGTCTGTTGATACTAACTCTCAAGATCTTGCCATTCCACAGCCACATAGGAAGCTCTGTTACGAGCAACGTACATTACGTCTGTACGAATTTTGATCTTATGAATTTTATGTTGCACCAAATCACAACCTTCGTACCTAGTTTGGATACTTGGAAATATGCTTTCAATTCTGGTATCTGCCTTCAACACCATACGGGACGTGCCTGGACCATGCTCATCGCTTCATTACATTACAAACATTATCTATAATAAAAGATATTCCCAAATGCTTGCGCCCATAGTTCCTCTTCTACTCGTTTTCAGATCCACATGCCTCCCTCTTTACGCCGAAATAAACCGAGTGTTGTTTATATGCTCTTCTTCTCGCAACATTTCGTCAACGACGCCGCGTGAATCGTTATGTTCCTGGGCTTGATATATGCAAAGCAAGGATACCACTAATCTTTCATGTTATCTGTGCTCCCCCTCCCCCTCCTCTTCTTCTTCTCCTTTTTCTTCCTTGTAAAATGTAATCACCTCCCCTCTCCCCTCTCCCCTCACCTCCTACCCACCCGCCCACTCACTCATGTACCTCCGGGGCCCGATAACTCCTCGGCAACGTCGCAGTACTGGCCTGGGACCTTAGCTCATTCCGCGCAGCATCACCATCCTGGCTCTCTCTCCTAACGCGAAAATGCCTCTCCAACGCCCCTCTAACCCCACTTCCCGGCGAATCCGCTACTGTGAAGCCTCCGGGGAGTTCTGGTGTTGTCGCTACACTCTGAGTGGCAGTTATTCTCTGCGTAGCCGTAGCAGCAGCAGTAGAGTTCGACGTGCTAGTAGTATTAACGGGGGGAAAAGTCATACTCCCCTTCCTATCCCGATCAATATCCAACATTAAATTCCGTATCTCCTGCGCTGTTTCGGAGCGTAGGCGAAGGTCTTCGAGGCGTGTGGTGCGTAGGCGGTCGCTGAGGCTTGAGGGGGAAGAGCCAGAGGCTGAGGCGGAGGCGGAGCGGCGTTGGTGGGAGGATGGGTGGGAGTGGGGGAGTTGTGAGGATGAGCGGGTCTTTGGGATTGATAGATTTAGGTTTGGTGAGGGTGAGGGTGAGCGGGGAGTGGCGGCGGTGGGGGTTACGGGTGTGGATGTGGATGTGGATGTGGATAGGGGAGGTGGAGGTGGAGTTATTGGAGATGTTCGCGGGGTGGGTTCGGGTGTATGCTGTAGTTTGTTTGGAGGTTGAACTGGGTGAGTGGTCGTGGTTTGATTGTTTTCGTTCGTCGTGTCTTCGTTTTTGGGTTCTGGGATAGTCGTCTCGGGCGTTTGGTCTCTGTTTTGTGTCTGTGTCGTGGTATTGTGCTCTCTGGTTTCTTCCTCTGCTGCTATTCCTGCGTCTTGAACTTCTCCCTGCCCCTGTCTCAACTGTTCCTTTGACCTTTTCCAGATTGTCTGGGGGTTCCGCATTTTCCTGGCGAGATACGCCATTCCGAACTTCTTCGGCACGGGAGCCACATCGGGGGGCTGGACCTCATTCTCGACAGCTCTTGCAGGAAACTCTGGAGTAAATTTTTCGGGTCCGCAACCAAATGTATCTCGAAGCCTATCGGCGCCGCTTCTCTTTCTCCCTCTTGCATCGTCTCCCGTTTCCTGCCGTACTGTAGTCGTAAAACTCTCCTCGCTCCTGACTGACCTCACGACTCTACTCGTTGCTTCTGACATCCGACCCATGGTGTCCTGCGCCGACCTTCTCTCTCCGGGATTCAAGCTCCTAATAAACGCGTTCTCAATGCCTGACGTGGCTGTTTCCCCATGCGGATGCGCCAGCGAATCCAGCAAGCCCTTGCGCACAGGTGAAAAAGAAAGCGAATTCGGCTGGGCAGCAGTGCCGCGCTTTGCCACCAAAGAAGAATTCCTCGAAGCCGAGCGCGACGAGCCAGAGTGGTAGCAAGATAACGTGTCCCAGTAGCTTCGTCTCTGGCGTGCATCCAGGCCGTGAAAAGGGTGGTTGGGTGGAAACTCTACATTATCGTCATTGCGTCCGGGAATGCCATCGTCATCGTTATTTTCGCACTCGCTTTCCTTCTCTTTGACAAAGTTCTCGTGACGGTGCCGTTGGTCCCGCCGCCTCGCGCTCCGGCTGCGGCTCCGGGACGATGCCGATGCAGACAAGGACGGGCAAGAACAAGAAATTAGTGCGGGCGACACACGATGCTGATTCGTATGCAAAGGCGCTACTGTAGACGGGATGGTGTGGTCAGAGGGCCATACGGAGAATTTTGAATGCACGGTCGAGGGCGCGAGCGTGATGGGGCGGCGGGATGGTGGTGGGCATGTAGCAGGAGGTTGGGCGAGGGAGGAGGTTGGTGCGCAGGAGGGGTAAGGTTCCGAAGAGCATTCGTTTTTTGTGATATTGACATCGTTGATAGTATTGAATTCGGGGTTACTGCGGAGGAGAGCGGCTGTCGAGTGCGCGTGGTTGGAGACTAGATCGTTGACTTCCGAGTCGGGATTGGATGATGGTGCTGATACTTTGACTTGCTCGTTGCTAGTAGCGTGGTGTGATGAAAACGTCATCCCTTCATCCCCATGTTCGGTATCTGCGAAACTTCTCAACACATGCTGTAGCATTCGCTCTTGTTCTCTACCAATCTGCATGTCTTGCGATTAGTATGCGCTTTCAGTACATCAGCTGTTTACATATCTGTTCCTCGACTCGCGATCGTGCACAAGCGAACTCACAATAGTAGCAAAACGGTCCCCGCGCAAATACATTTCCTGCACCTCTTCTAATCTTCTCTTTCTCATCTCCCTGCTATTCAGGATGTGCCATCCTACATAGCTCTCCTTGTTCTTTTCTTCCACTCCCTTCTCACGTCTCAGAGGCTCCATGCTATCAGTTCTTTCGTAAACCTCATTCAACTCAAGCTCCGGTTTCCCTCCCCGTTCTCTATTGACATCTTCTCTACTATCACTCTGCGCATAATGCGTAATGAGCGATGCGGCAAGTTTCTGTCGTGCTGACTCGCCCCTCCAGCCTAGGCCGCCTCGTTCCATACTGCGTGCTATTCTCCGTTTGAGTGTGTTGCTATTACATCGGATGACAGCGACACGGTCGCTAACGCGGACAAATGCCGAACTCCGTTCAGTGGACATTGTTGAGCAGGGTGCAAGGCTTGATGGTTTAGCATTGCGGTTACACTGACAATTTCAAGAGGTAGGATTGGGATGTGTGAGAGCTGGTGTGTTGACATGTGGGTTTATGATACAAGTTTTGGGTCCAAAGACAGGGTATCGATGAAATTGCGTGGCGAATGCTTCGTGATTACATCACCTATCTCGTACCCTTACAGCTGGGCTTCGATCTGAAGATTGTTTTGTCGCAGGTGTCATTATCGGGGGCTGGCCATTAGGCATCAATCATGCGGTTGTGTTGAAATTAGGTGTTAATTCGGTGGAACTTCAAGCATTGACGATGTCAGGTACCGGATCACAGCAGCCGGCAATCAAGTGCAGACAGTAAAAATATGTAGACAATACGCCACAATAACAGGGACGAGTTATATTAGGGTATCCACCAGACTATCACACCTTTCCATCCAGCCCTAGCAACTCCTGTAACACTATCTTTGCTTTTCCAGGCTCAACGCCACCATCTGGGGCTCGCGCCACCATCTGTCCAACAAACCACATAGTCTTCTTTACCTGACCCTTTTCAGTGATGTCCTTGACCATTTTGGGATTTTCTTCCAATAGTGTCTTTGCCAGGTTGACATATTCTTCTTGGCTCAGGGGCTGTAAGAGTAGGTTTTCTTGGTGGACAATGTCATGAACTCTACGTGCATCTCCCTCAAACTTGATCGCAAGTAGACGCTTCGCTGACGGTGATGTAACCTCTCCGCGGCGCACAAATGAGATCACTTCCGCGAGATCTCTGGCTGAAACGTGGCTAGAATCCCATGGTTCGTCTTTGAACAGAGAGCCGAGCTCCATGAGCACCCTATGTATAATTTAGACTTTATCCACGAAGAAATCTACACATCAGACATACCAGTTCCCTGCAATCTTTCCAAGGGTTTGTAACGAAGCGCTGTCCTGTTGCTCTTCGGCTAGGCGGACCGATTCGGTAACGACATCCATGTAGTACTCCAGACGTTCTCCATCATCAAATGAAAGAAGAGTGATGGCATCTTTGGTAGTCAGGCCATAATTGTGCACGAGAACATCTACGTTGACATCGGGAAGTTTTGGCAGGGTGTTTTTCAGGTGCTCGACTAGATCCTAAAGACAGTCAGCATTGGTCTTGAGATGCAGGTCAACACATGATTTACCTCTGCTATAATCACAGGTGCAATATCGGGGTCCGGCATGTACCGGTAATCAATCTCGCCCTCTTTTCCTCTTAACCGTTTCGTGGTCTTACTTCCAAGAGTCCACCCACGGGTCTCGCCTTCAACAGTACCTCCACCCTCAAGCAAATCAATCTGCCGATCACGCTCTGCAATGATGGCATCCTCGACAGCCTTGACACTTGCCAGGTTCTTGATCTCAGTCCGTTGGCCCAAGCCAGTGATACCAGAGTATGAGTGATTGGATTTCGATGGGTCCTCATGGCGCTGGCGAACAGAAACGTTGACATCGGCGCGAAGACCGCCTAGCTCCATGCCAGTGGTACAAGAGTTGACAGCTTTGAGTATATTCTGTATCTTTCGGACAACGACGGCAGCTACCATAGGGTTGTGAATTTCAGGGAGTGTGATGATCTCAATCAGTGGATGTGAGACGCGGTTGAAGTCCAGCAGATGGGTCGAGGGTGGTTGCTGTACGGTCTTCGCGGTGTCCTGCTCCATCTGTATTTGCTTGATGCCGATATCGAAAGGTTCTGGATGCGGAGCCGCGCCGACAGGAAAGTCATGAGGGTAGAGTGTAATTTTACCATTTTTCGCAAATGGTTCGTAGTACTGCGTGATCTGATACCCGGACGGCTGATCTTGGTAGAAGTAGTGTTTACGGTCAAAGCTGCTCTTAGGCTGTATCTCGCATTGGAAGGCTATAGCAGCGCGCAAGGCAGGAAGAAGAGTCTCCTTTTGGAAATGAGGTTGGGTTCCAGGAAATGCGACGTCAAAGAGGGAAACATGTGTATTCGGGGGTTCGCTGACAGAAGTGGCAGCGCTAGAGAAAAGTTTCCGCGCTGTGTTGAGTTCGGCATGCACCTCGATGCCAACAGTCAATTCCCACTTTTCCAAGCGCGCATCCTTGGAATTTTTAGAGGATCTTGCAGAAGATCCCTTTTCCTTCTTCTTCTGCTGCTTTGTGGCGTCTTTCAGGAGCTTGCGGAAAGAAGTCCCATCTTGAGACGATGGAGGTGATTGGGATTCGGTTTGGATAGATCGTGTTGTGAACGTAGTGAGAGGATGCACACCGCCCAATGGACAAGTTCTAGTCAAGTGTAGACATGGTAGGCACACATAAGCCTGTTTTGATGCTGCAGCGAGACTTTTGCGAGTACTGCGAACAAACATGATGTGAAGTCTGACGAACTGCAGTTCTGACGCATTGCACAGATGCGGGCGGTCCGTGCTCACTTCCGAGAGACAATATCACTCACAAATTGCCTGAACCTTAGCAAACCGGGTCTTCGCCAACACTGAAATCTCTCGCGTTGTCTGACACATCCGGAGTGGTCTTAGCGTCGGCTCAAAGATGTAAAGAGTCGTATTGAAGGCTGATGTATTCGACGGTGCGATGTACGCAGCGTTTGACGTGTAGTAAACTGCGGAAGACACTGTCTCGACAGCGAGTATCCTCAGTAGGTGTATCGGGTCGATGAATCCTGGAACCACCGGCGATTTCTATGCAGATTGGTCCTTCTGTTGATCTCCTTCTGAATGCTGGTTGCCCAATGCTTCAAACGGTTACGGAGTCTTTCCTACGCCTCCGGTTCTTTGAATCTTTCCGACGGGTGTTGGAAATCTCCGGGATGTATGTAGACTCCCGGCCACTGAGTGAAGTCCGGTGCCGAATGGTAATTTGTGCTGTTGGAAAATCGAACACTACGACCACTGCGGACACTCGCCATGCAAGCAGTTGTTCAGAGGATCTTGCCGTTGGGCTTGCCACAACTCAACTGAGTTCAAGAATGAAGTCAAACGTGGTAGTACCACAAATGATTGGTGATTCCAAGCGTATGACCCGAATTAGAATAGAGATATGTGCTCAGAGTCAATCATGGACAAGCAACGGTGTCTAGCAAAGCCGAAGTCTGTTCTTGAGCTCTCGCATTCTCATGCGCAATACTCTCTGCTTTACCTTCAGATCAGCTTTCTCTTTAGCTCTGATTCGTGCGCGTGCTTCCTTCTGTTTCCTCCGTTTTTCTATAGCTCTTCTTCGCTCGCCAGGTTCTCGTGGGTCCTTCGGCCTTGGCCTGTAGTGCTGGCGTGTACCTGGGGCTGGAGCCGGGACAACCCAAGTCGGTACAGCAATAGCCACACTGGCAGCACTGCTCATCAAAATGTTGCAATTCTCAAGGCCGCTTCAATTAAACTTAGAGCCTCCCGTCTCTAAAGCTCTTTAGTCTGTGAGCAAGCCTCTCTCGCTCTAGGAAAAGTTCAGCGCGAGCGCGAGATACACGCCAGTTCCTTTTTTGCTTCTTAACTTGTTCCTGCTCAAACTTTCGAAGGCGCTGGCGGGCAACGTGCAATCGCTCCGTTGCTGAAAGGGGTCGTCCTGAATATGAATGTGTTCTAGGGTTGTGCCCTGCGTGAAAAATGGTCTTGCGATTGACGATGGGTCGTGGAAGAGGAAAGAGTGGTTTCCTGGGCACTTTGGGTTTGGTTTGTCGAGATTCGGAGCCTCGGGTAGCGAACAGTGAATCAAGTGGCATGTAGTTAAGAATTGCTATTGTGCATAGGTAGTTGGCTCAGGTAAGGGGCTGGATTTCCTCCAGTCGATGAAGCGAGCAGTAGGAGATAGTGCAGAAAGCCCTTTGGGTGTGGATGCTGCTGGTGATAGAGTAATAATGTTGACGCTGGGTTGCAAGTCAGAACATTATAAGTAAAGTTTACTCTACTTAGTAGGGGAGCAGTACCGATTTGGGATGTGTTATTCAATAGCTGTATCGTTTCACAGACAGATCAGTGTGTATGGATGATGGCACTGAGGTATATTGTGGTGTAGGTGTGACGGTTGAGGTTTGTAATGGTAGATACGAAGGATGGTGAAGAGGTGGTAACTCATCGTGCTTACCGCACCTACTCAAGCCAAGTGCCAGGTAGGCGACAAAACATTATGGAAACTACAGTTTGCCCACAACAAGTCTTTGAGAAGGAGCCATTCACTGATTAAAGAATCTAAAAGAAAACAACGTGTGTCACAAACAGCCATCCTTGCAAACGATGATTTGTATAAACGAATATCTGAGTCAGTCGCTTAAGGAAGATGCACTTGGAAAATTCTGTTAGAATTATGAGAATCAAATCAAAACAATCTTTATATCAACCAGTATCTTAAGTTCTACATGAATCAAGAAATCCTTCATACTAAGTTATCACAAGCTCCACAACACCATATATCGATCCCCATCCTTGCACCCTCATGATTGTCCTTCTAGAAGACAAACTTCCGATCGCCCATAATACCCCAAAGCTCCTCTACCACAGCCTTCTGATCCTCAGGATTCGCATGGCGAACAGCAAAGTACACACGGCCCTCAAGAGATGGATCCCAATCGCCAGGGTTAGCACTAGCGACAATACCACCAGCCTCCTCCAGGATGATCCAGCCAGCGCAGACATCCCAGATCCAGACGCCACCCTCCCAAAAGACATCGATGATGCCTTGTGCGACGTAACAGAAATCGAGAGCAGCGGAACCGTTGGAGCGGACGGACTTGCACATGGCTCCGCCTTCCACCTTGGAGGTCAGAAGCTTGTTGTGTACGGACGTCCGGAGGGCCCAGTTTTCACCGGAGCGCTGGTTTCCCCATTCGATGGCGACGAGACAGGAGTTCAAAGATGGCATTGGTGGGGGTACGGCCTGAATCGGAAGCTTGATCTCGGTTCCGGTGAACGTATTCTTGAGGTAGGCGCCCTGGCCTTTGACCGCGTGGTAGAGATCGCCACGGAAAGGGTTGTATACGACACCGACGACGGGCTTCTTATCGACAGTCAAAGCCAGAGAAATCGCACAGTTGGGCACGCCCTTGGAGAAGTTTAGGGTTCCATCGATTGGATCGCAGACGAACGTAGGGGTGTCGGCAAGCTTGGTACCATGCTTAAATGTCTCCTCTCCAAGGAATCCAAAGGCCGGGTATTCGTTTCGTAGGCGGGATTCCACCGTATCTTCGATCTGCTTGTCGAACTCGGTGACTAGGTCGGAAGTGTTGTTCTTGTACTGTGCCACTGCAAGGACTGAGTGTTCAGCAGCTACCATGATCTTGCCGCCATCAATGGCAATCTCCATGAGTAAATCATGGATCTCATTGAGATGGTCGGCAGTCAGACCATGCTTGGATAGCGCAAGCTTGAAGCCTTGGGAGTCAGTGGAGGCCATCTTCGGGATCGTGGTACGTTGTGGCGCGGGAGTACTGATTGTGCTAGCAGGAGAAAAATGATTCGCAGACGAGTTTGAAAACTTGCGAATATGTATATGAGTATTTGCCGGAGATAAGCAACGTGGTTGAAATGCTGTTTGAGGACTGGGCTGGAGTCTGTCTCCGTAGGAAAAATTACTACGATTTATATCCATGGTGGAAAGGGTGGTGGTGAAGCGGTGGTGTAACAGCGGAAGTTGATAGAAGGTGGTTTGTCGCGACTGTATTTTGACAATGTTGCTATCCAGGTAGATGGGAGAGCTTTTGCTGTAGCATGTGAAAGCTTTGTTTAGTGTAGTACAAACAGCTAGCCTCGAATTCCAACATTGTGAAGGCGACATTGTGTCAAAGCATGATTGAAATCATCGAGTTCCAGGTTCTGGATTTGGCGCAAGGATTGAAAGTCATGGTTGAGGAACACCTGTTTGCTGGGGAGATTTAGTAAAAAGCACTGCTCTGTTGTTGGGCGATGGCGTGCCAAAGCGCATCTCGAGAACAAAACGGGCCGGCTTATGCTCTCACCTCGGCTCAACAGCTCTCTGATAGGACACGGCAAGTGCCACCAAACCACCTGGAAGCAACAATGCTGACTGTTTAATACACGCCATACAGTGAGGTAGCTTGGAAAGCGGGTCGCAGTTTCTGCAAAAGACTTGCATAGGCCAGGAGTATGTCTGGAGTCGCGCTCAAGCAACGTCACTTGGAGCTCTGTGAGAAGGAGGTAGACTGGGTGATATGATTGTTGCGCCAGTGAAAAGTAACACGTTAAATTAAGGTCGTTGAGGGTATCACTACGCTAAAGTTGTGGTCTCTTAGTTCGTCTTAATTACACTTCCCTCTCTTCGGCCCTTGGCCATGGTCCGCATTATGAACTACATCTTCGTGCTACACTGCTGCATCCACTCCACAAAGGTGCATCTTTCCATAAGGACGCATAGAGTGGAACCTACCCCAGGATTTCTCTCGAGTTTCATCGTCTTGGCTACAGCCGAGAATCCGCTTTCCGTTGGAATGCAAAACAAAAACAGAATGCAGGTACAGACAGGGATGCACTTGGAAGAAGAGACCAAGAGAGTCAACTAACCTTTGAGGCTACTTGACACAAGGTCGATGATAGGATTGCGGGCGGCAATGGCGGCTGCCGGCATGATCCGTTTTGAGTGTGTGGTAGAAAGATGCCATGATAGCTCAACCCAACACTCTCGGGCCACTTGACTTGCTCTTCTTCTGAACACCGCGGGGTATGAACATGGCAGGAGATGCGACGACGGCGGGAGTGCTGCTTGAGCCGGGCTTGTCCTTGTTGTCCTTGTTTTTGTTGTTCTTGTTCTTGCCCTGCTGCTTGTGCCTGTCTTCGCGCTTCGCGATGGGCTTGATCTCGGACGTGGCTCGCTTGATGAGGACCGGGTGGCTGCCAATGTACTTGCCCTGCATTTCCTTTGCGGCTCGGAAATAGTCGTCGGTGTCGGCAAAGCTGACGAAGCCATAACTCTTGCTCTTGGTCGACTTTTTGTCTCGGACGACGCGGGCCTTTGAGAGTGAGGGGTACTTTGCGAAGGCCTTGAGGAGCGAATCATCAGTGACTTCACCAGCAAGATTTCCTATAAAGAGTCGGGGGTGCAGAGGGTTCCACTCAAGCAGAGTCTCGTCCTCCCATTGCTTTCCACCTCCCTCGCGAACTACGGTCTTGCGCTTTCCGTCGGGTCCGAGACCAGTGTCGGCCTCGTTGGCGGCAGTAGCTTCTGGGCGGGCGGCGACGCTTGGATTCGCGCCCTTCTTCGCGTTGGCGTCGGCCGCGTTGTATGCGCTGTTCCACTCCGCAATGCGTGCCTCTTCCTCGGGGTCGTAGGCGCCACCATACCCGCGGTTCACGGAAGGAGCAGCTGAGTAGGCGGAGGCAGGAGCACCCGATGCATAGGCTGAGTACGAGTAGTTGTTGTAAGCATTGCTGGTCGGGTAAGCGGGTGCTTGATATGGAGCGCTCACTGTGGCTTGCGAGAAGTTTGCGGCGGCAGCAGATGACTGAGGGGGCGCGTGGGCTGCTACCGAGCGCGGTGTGAAGCCTGGAAACATGGTGGGATTGCTCTGAGCTCGCGCGCCTGGATTGTTAGTGCTGTTGTTAGGTCTCGAAGGCGAGGTCGAGTGAGTTGCAGGCGGAGGGCGGGCGGGAAGAGAGTGGTGCGGCTGCATGGCGTCTAGGCAGCAAGGTGAGGGGCGAGGGTGAGGTGAGTTCAGGGTGGTGATAGTGAGGCAGTAACTCGGGCAGTGCGACGGTGATGGTGAGGGGCGTTTGTATGGCGGGAGTTAATGCCGCAGAGAGGGTGTGGCACAGGCACAGGGCACAGGCAAGTTGTGAAAAAGCGGGTGGCAGGTGGCAGGGCTGGTGGTGGGCGGCGTCGGAGATCGGCGTTTGAAGGGCGTGGGAGGGAAGGGCGGGCCGGTGCAAATTGGCAATTACGTGGGATGGCGTGTGATGGGGGCGCGGCGTGACGTTTGGTGTTGTTATTTGTTGCGTGTGCGTGTGCGTGTGCGGCTGCGACGGAGAAAGAGCGACGCAGTCTCAGACATGGCCCGAAACCCCCGGGTCACGTGCCGGCCTATCTACTCTACTTACTACAGTACACTACGCTATCGTACACTGCAACCAAGTACGTACTATCTGCCTGTCAATATACGCGGCTGTGCGGCCATCCCTCGGCACATTCGGCCTGTCCGCCATCCACACTGCCGCCATCCCACCACCTCTCCCGCCCATGGCTGTCTAGTACTAGCGACGGACTTCCAAGCAGGCACAGCACACATCGGACAACATTTGCTTTGACCCGCTCCCCACCGGCCTTTAGCCTGGCAATCTCGCCCTGCCACTCGCTTTCCGGTGCCTATGCCTGCCCTCTAGCGTGTCCGACCACCCCTGTACGCTGCCCCTCGTCCCGTAATGCTGTGTTAAGGCTGAGGTGGAGGGGCCGGCGTCATGGTGTGCAGAACAGGCAAAGACGGAGCGCCTCAAAGCAGCCGCATCTACGCGTGTCCCCTTTCGTCTCCGGCCGTCTGGCCATGGCCGCTGTGAGTGTGTGCGCGCGCGAGAGAGAGAGAGAGGGAGAGAGAGAGTAAGAGGGTGAGAGAGCAGGTTGAGCGAGGCGTCGTATTTGCAGCCATTGGCATCGCCAGTCTACGTACTCGCATCCAGGCGGCCCCATCGGCAGGCTGCTTGCTAAGCATGAGCAGTGTTTGTTCAGCACGCAGCCAAATGGGCAGCGCAAGCAATTCCTCCGTACCAACATGCGCAATTGGCAAGGGCCGCTTACGGGGCATTTGGCCTTACCGCCGCGGCCGAAGCTATCCTCCATGACCTGTGATGCTCGGACTGGGATCTGGTGGGACGTGCCACCATTGATGCAATAGGTAGCCTGCCCCGCTTGTTTCCAAAGTCTTTCCGGCGACTACATTATCTCAGAGACCCCCACCAAGCTTCCTCTTCCTTCTTCTTGACAATCACCCGCTCAAAAAGCTTCAATTGCCCTCAACTGTTGTAGCCCGGTCGCTGCAACTTTACCCCGCCATCCCCCTCCACCCAACAACCACACCTACACACCTCTCTTCACCACAAAAGCAATCATGACTGAGGCTGTCGGAGACTTCGGCCTCATCGGCCTGGCCGTGAGTATACTTCAGCCATGCATTGTCATGGCTCGCATCTTGGATAACTCGACATGTGCTGACACCAATTCTAGGTCATGGGTCAGAACTTGATCCTCAACGCGTAAGTCTTCTACCGCACCCTCTACGAAATGAATGAATGCAATACTGACATTACCTAGTGCCGACCACGGTTTCACGGTACGAGACACGTCTTGACAACTCATCGGGTTTAGAAAACTAACTTTGTCCTCAGGTCGTTGCTTTCAACAGAACGTAAGCACTACAACTCTACACCCTCAGGAACTTCACTAACATCCAGCCAGCGTCGCCAAGGTCGACCGATTCCTAAACGATGGTAAGTCTTGTACTGCAATTGCTTGCCAACAAAACTGACAACAAAAACAGAGGCCAAGGGCAAGTCCATCGTCGGTGCTCACTCCATCGAAGAGTTTGTCGCCAAGCTCAAGAAGCCCCGCCGCATGATGATGCTCGTCATGGCTGGCAAGCCCGTCGACGACTTCATCGAGCTCCTCCTCAAGGGAGGCGCCGAGGAGGGCGACATCATCATCGACGGCGGTAACTCCCATTACCCCGACACCAACCGCCGCACCAACTACCTCAAGGCCAAGGGCATTCGATTCGTCGGAACTGGTGTCTCTGGAGGAGAGGAGGGTGCCCGCTACGGCCCCAGTATCATGCCCGGTGGTAACGAGGAGGCATGGCCCTACATTAAGGTACGGAGTCTATCAAGAATTGACGAGGCATATCTGACGGTCACTTAGGACGTCCTTCAATCCATCTCCGCAAAGTCCGACGGCGAGGCTTGTTGTCAATGGGTCGGTGACGAGGGTGCCGGTCACTACGTCAAGATGGTTCACAATGGTATCGAGTACGGTGACATGCAGTTGATCTGCGAGGTGAGTCAAAACAGCGAAACAGCACAGAAATTCGAGACTGATGGAAAATCCAGGCCTATGACATCATGAAGCGCGGTCTCGGTATGTCCAACAAGGAGATGGGCGACGTTTTCGCGCAATGGAACAAGGGCGTTCTTGACTCCTTCCTGATCGAGATTACCCGCGATATCATGTACAAGAACGATGATGACGGCACTGCCATTGTTGAGAAGATCCTGGACTCTGCCGGTCAAAAGGGTACCGGCAAGTGGACCGCCATCAACGCTCTCGACCTCGGTATGCCCGTTACTTTGATCGGAGAGGCCGTCTTCGCTCGTTGCCTGAGTTCCCTCAAGCAGGAGCGTGGCCGTGCTGCTGGCCTTTTGGACGGCCCCAGCCCCAGCTTTACCGGTGACCGCAAGGCT